ATCCGTTTCGTCCAATATATCCCTCTGTTTATAAATCCCTATGTTGGTAACCACTAGATACCAGATGTACTCTGTTGAAACCATAGGACATGCACGTCTATGTGCCGGAAAGATAAAGGTTATCTTAACCATTGATGACATCCGTTATACTAGTAGTTTAATGACACATACTGTGTTGACAAAGTGTTATTTGTATCACATTGCTGTCAATATATGATAATCAAAGTCATTCGATATTGAAAATTATCTGGCGGACAGAATACTTTTGTTTTTAATTTTCATTCATCCGGTTCTTTGAATAAATAAACCTATTTGAATATTACTGAAAAATGTATGTGACATGTGACCGTGGAACCCTACCGACCCACCTACCTCCCCCTCTCCCCCAATCCCTCCTACCTCCCCCCTCTCCCTCCTACTCCCCACCCTCTACCCTATGAAGACTATTCCGGCAATATGGCCTGGTCTTTCCCACTGTATCCTAAGAGGGAAATCCTATGGGATCTCCGTGGCAGTACGAGTGATCTTTGGATATTATTTCTACACTGAAGATATCATAATTGAAATGTCATCCTCACTCTAACCTTATCTGGGACATTCTTTTTTATGTCTGTCCTTTCATCCGTGTGTTTTCTATTATAAAAGATAGCATAGGTATATTACAGAACAATGGACGGATATTACAAGCCTTCTAACATATCTTATCTTCCTGGTATATCAACAATCGATATTATAAGATAGGATCATTGTTGTCGCCTTTTCACGCCATTGTTGGAATGATCAACATTACATACTATCATAAATATTGAAAAGGACGACAAAAGTTCGAATGTTTGTTCACATTGTGTACAAATTGTCCTGTTATCTAGTAACATTAATATGTTAGGCTCCTGTTATCTAGTAACATTACTATGTTACACTGCTGTTATCTAGTAACATTGATATGTTACACTGCTGTTATCTAGTAACATTACTATGTTACACTGCTGTTATCTAGTAACATTGATATGTTACACTGCTGTTATCTAGTAACATTGATATGTTACACTGCTGTTATCTAGTAACATTGATATGTTACACTCCTGTTATCTAGTAACATTACTATGTTACACTGCTGTTATCTAGTAACATTGATATGTTACACTGCTGTTATCTAGTAACATTACTATGTTACACTGCTGTTATCTAGTAACATTGATATGTTACACTGTTGTTATCTAGTAACATTGATATGTTACACTCCTGTTATCTAGTAACATTGATATGTTACACTCCTGTTATCTAGTAACATTACTATGTTACACTGCTGTTATCTAGTAACATTGATATGTTACACTGCTGTTATCTAGTAACATTACTATGTTACACTCCTGTTATCTAGTAACATTGATATGTTACACTCCTGTTATCTAGTAACATTGATATGTTACACTGCTGTTATCTAGTAACATTAATATGTTACACTCCTGTTATCTAGTAACATTGACTCCTGTTATATAGTAACATTGATATGTCACACTCCTGTTATCTAGTAACATTGATATGTTACACTCCTGTTATCTAGTAACAGTACTATGTTACACTGCTGTTATCTAGTAACATTGATATGTTACATTCCTGTTCTCTAGTAACATTAATATGTTACACTCCTGTTATCTAGTAACATAAATATGTTACACTCCTGTTATCTGGTAACATTAATGTGTTGCATTTCTGTTTTTTAGTAACATTAGTATGTTACATTCCTGTTATCTAGTAATATTTATATGTTAGGTTCCTGCTATCTAGTAACATTAATGTGTTGCATTTCTGTTATCTAGTAACTTTAATTTGTTATAAATGTTGATACTTCTTATATTTTTTTGTGTTCTGCTCCGGACAAAACTATGACAGACGGACAAACGGACGGACAAGTCGACGACTATATGCTATCCCTTTGGAAAACATAAAATCATATAACGTGAAATAACAACATAACACTTTCCATGTCATGGTTCTAATCACGTCTAGTTTAACGACACGCGACATGTTATCGATCTGATACATACATAGGTAACTTCATCTAATGACGTTTTAAAATAATATATGTCAACACACTAGTTAGCCTGCTGTAAAGTGTAGGAACGACTGAATACAGTCCCAAACAAAACACGGTATGTGTTTATTTCCCAATGGCTCTTTATAATTGTGAAACTGAAAGCTCATCAACAGGACATGATTAATTTATAGAAATCGATAACCATTCCTGCCCGTTTTATATGCAGAGACACGTCACAAAAATTAAACATGGCTTCAAATGAATGTATGGTTGTAACATGCCGGTCCTGTACGGCGATCGATTCTGATGTGATATCAATATTATAACACATACACTGCTCGCCCGGTGTCTAATTATGTCTAGGTTAATTAGAATTGGTTTTTAAACAACATTCACATATATGTGAAATACCGAGGGTTAATTCACAAAAACGATTGAATTTCTAGGTGAAAATTTCAACTTCAGTTTTGGTGACTTTTGTCATACCAAAATGTACAGAAGACTCGATGGTAAACAGATTAAACAAAGCGTGGCCGAATTGACCACATTACATTTTTACCATCTGATGATTTTTTTTCTGAGGGGTGGGGGTGGGGTGTCGTGGGTGAGGGGATGGGGGTCTATATTCTGTTTACCATCTCGTCACACTATTTTCGACCTTAGTGTACATAGGATTATAGTGCAACCGAAAAAGTTGGTCGATTCCTTACCATCTCGTGCACTACATACGTCAGTGCTAGTACGCTCCACCCTGGTCATTTGTTTGAAGAAGGTGACCGTGTAGTCATCGAAACGGCACACTCTAATTTTCTACTGGTTTTGTTTAAAGATGAAGGTGACCGTGTAGTCATGGTCACACTGAAATCTTCTACAGGTTGTGTTATAAGATGAAGGTGACTGTGTAGTCATCGCAACGTCACACTAATCTTCTACTGGTTTTGTTATAAGATGAAGGTGACCGTGTTGTCATCGAAACGTCACACTAATCTTCTACTGGTTTTGTTATAAGAACTTTTGTTCTACAACCAAAACACGTCCCGATGTAATAATACCTTCGCTAGGTTATTAAGCCTGGTTTTTGTTTATTTAATTCGTGGTTTGATTGCCTTTTGGCATGGTAAAGCAGTAAACTATTGATCGTAACCAACACAGACAATACACCATCCATGTTACCCGTACTTAACTCTGAGGGTCGGTTTTATTTATAATTCTAAACGTAAACGACCTCAATATTTTAAAAAGATGATTACAACTATACTGATCAGGTCCAGACTGATGTTTGTTCTCTGATTTATATATTTAGATTTTATATGTTATCGACCAGTTATACATTATCTTAATATCGATTATCCCGGAGTAATATTGACAAAACTGTAGAATGTAATAGGTATTTTGTTTATATACAAACTGATCAACATCCTACCAGCCATATCAATGTTAAGCTGAAGCACATGGAATTTTGTCTTCATGTCACATTAACCAAGCTGACGTATCCATGATTAGAGTTAACAATGTTGTACAAACAAACTACACTGACATATCCCTGATTTAGAGTTTTCATTGTAATACACACAAACTACACTGACATATCCCTGATTTTGACTTATCATTGTTATACAGACAAACTTAACTCACATATCCCTGGTTTTGACTTATCACGGAATACAGACAAACTACACTGACATATCCCTGGTTTTGACTTATCATTGTAATACAGACAAACCTAACTGACATATCCCTGGTTTTGACTTATCATTGTAATACAAACAAACCTAACTGACATATCCCTGGTTTTGACTTATCATTGTAATACAGACAAACCTAACTGACATATCCATGGTTTTGACTTATTGTAATACAGACAAACCTAACTGACATATCCCTGGTTTTGACTTATCATTGTAATACAAACAAACCTAACTGACATATCCCTGGTTTTGACTTATCACGGAATACAGACAAACCTAACTGACATATCCCTGGTTTTGACTTATCATTGTAATACAGACAAACCTAACTGACATATCCCTGGTTTTGACTTATCATTGTAATACAGACAAACCTAACTGACATATCCCTGGTTTTGACTTATCATTGTAATACAAACAAACCTAACTGACATATCCCTGGTTTTGACTTATCATTGTAATACAGACAAACCTAACTGACATATCCCTGGTTTTGACTTACCATTGTAATACAGACAAACCTAACTGACATATCCCTGGTTTTGACTTACCATTGTAATACAAACAAACCTAACTGACATATCCCTGGTTTTGACTTATCATTGTAATACAGACAAACCTAACTGACATATCCCTGGTTTTGACTTATCATTGTAATACAGACAAACCTAACTGACATATCCCTGGTTTTGAGCTATCAATATTATACACACAAACTGTTGATACTTATACATGCACGGTTGAATTAATGCAATAAGCCTTCCAGTAAAAATTGACCAAAGGTATGGTCGATCAGTAAGCTGGTGCAAACCATTTCGGTGAAATATTTACCATAAATATGATATATATATCACGAATCATAGGTGTTATTGAAAACATTTTAACCGATTTCTTATAAACCGATTCCTTTTCAAAAGAAATGATGATTTTCTGATTTCTCTTTAACTTTTGTAATTTTGTTTTTGAACAGTACAATGTTCTAATTTTGCAAACTGTTTTTATTATGACAATTAAAATGCAATTCGTCTTTATTTTGATGTACAGTTTCAACAATGAGTTATCTTTTGCCATTATTTCTGTGTGCTGTATCTGTACTGTATAACTATTTCCATTTTATTACCTGTATCAAACTTACGACAATAATGTACATCAGATATGTGATTACCGTCAGAAAGACAATAAGGTGTACAACAGCTGCTTAAGTTACGATTTGTTTTACAGGGAGGTTTGGACGTAACCGTTTACGGTAATTGTCAGGGAAGCAGTTAGGCAGGATGGAAGGCACAACCAGTTATATCCTTGTCTGTGGAATTTGCTTCGGACTGGCTATCATAGCCTCTGCTGGTGGGTTATATTGCATTCGCATTTACGTGTCAGTTTATTTTTAATATACGATTTAAAAATTATGTGATATTTCATCATTCCAACTGACATAAATGAAATTCCAAATGACATAAATGAAGAAAGACAAAATAGGAATGATTCTTTCTACCTTTTCTATCGCAAAGTCAAATACTGTACTTCACTGCTAATAGTATCTACCAGTTACTATATAAAAAGGATTTCTTAGCTGAAGAAGTAATTGAAGAGACCTGACGTTAAAGCATCGTACCTTTTTATCAGATAGTGTCCTTTAACTTTCAAACGCGGTATGTTGTACGTTAGAATTTAACTGCAGACCGAGATGTCTCATAATACAGTAATACCTTCCTGTCACTGCTATAACAGAGAATTATTTGACTGCACTACATGACTTTTGAGGCTATTGTTTTGCTAATCGCATGTAATAAGTTCAATAAGGGCAATTTGAGTAATCCTATTCCCGATTTGCTGGTATGATTGAAACGAGTGCAGTACACTTTCCCTATATCGAACAATCTAGTCTCTATAGCAATGACGTCTATACATTACATGTATATTATTGGATTTCAATAACGACTTGACTGGAGTTATATTGGTGCAGATTCATCAGAACAACTTATGTGGTGTAATATATCATTGGTTTACAGAGAATGGTCCTGAAAGCGGCTTTATCGGAAGGAGGCTTTTAAACAGCACAGCACCGGAACCGGATAAAAGTATCTGGCAAAAAATCGAGGAATTCTACGATGACAAGAATAACTTTGCTATGTACCTGGTTCTACCTCTTCTGGTCTTTGTGTATGGTGGGTGCAGTCTCATCTATTGCATTGCTAAATGTCGACGACACCTGAAAAAGAAGAAGCACAAGGAAATGTCGAAATTAGACCGCCAGGATATCGACGATGATGATGATGAACCGGTCACCGAACGTACCGATAGTGTAGAACCGCGTCAAGAGAGAAAGGGTGCTAAGCAGACCTCTGCCTCTGACGTCAGAGTGGCAATGGATCGGGAAAACACCACCACATCCCTGCCGTGGCAGGTCCCAGACGAACAGGAGAATTTATATCAACGCAAGCCTGCACCTCCTCCCCCTCGTAAAGCTGAGCCACGGAATGCCTTGAACAACCATCCGAGCCCTCCTCCACCCTACGATGCCTTTTCACCCAAGCCTGCCATGAACCGGGCAATGATGAACACCGTCTCTAACCCTGGAAATGACCACCGGACCAGGAATGCAATGGAATCTTATGCTATGGCGAAGCAGGCGGCAGAGTTGCTGAGACAAGAGGACCACTATCGGCCTGGCGGTGGCTACAAGAAGGCAAAGAGGCTCGTTTTCGTAGCTGATTGAAGAGGAATGTGATTTCACAAGAGGTGTACCGAATTACTGACAATGAGGTATATGTTAGGTATTCAGTATAAAAGATAACCTGATTAGTATTTTTGGCAAAAACGATATTTTTTTTTATGGAAATCGAAGGTGATCGTGACAGATTGAGAATAGTAATTCATTACAATTCAAAGGGTTCATGTAACGTGTGAACATTTCATATTTTTTTAAAGTCGATCATAAAAGCAGCAACCTAGAAATCGATCATGTTTAATATGTTTAAATTTTAAGAAAGGTTTGTCAATATAAAACCCTCTTGTATCAAATATTGTGCAGGTTTATGTTCATATTGGTTTGAAGTTTTGTTTTGTTTTTATAAATAACGCTGATTATCTATGAATCTTGTTTCAGTACCATTTGGAAATTTTGGCTAAGGTCATCACAACAGGAAAAAAATTGAGACTTGTGATTGATTTAATCGAAATGTGACCTATTTATTATCATCCTGAAGAATTGAATGCTTGGATAAACATAACTTTAACTATAGTTTTTTTCTTATTTTTTAAGTCAATGTAGAAGATCTCAAAACCAAACAAGTGATTTATTTATAAAGTTTGGTAGTAATTATCATTTCATTTTAAGATGGAGAGTGGAATAACAAAAGAGAAGAAATTTTCTAGGGACGGGAAGAGACTGTAGAAAAGACGATCGGGAAGGGGAGGACTTTTGTATGGTTTAAACATAAGATATAAGAAAATGACACATATTTTCAGAAACAATGTCGGATACGGAAATAAAAACGCACATAATGATATCATTGTCAGATTGACGGCAATTCTCCAAATCCAGATTTAGCGAAATTATATCATTAATTGTCCCGGGTAATGCGTTTTCCCTGCCGTCGACTGTGGTAGACATGAGTAAATTGGTAAAGCCTTATATGTATATAGGAAAGTCCTATATGTATATTAGTTACTGATACAGACTGTACGTTAAAGTTTATATAATGAGTTAAATATGTTGTTGCTTTTTTGAATATCAGGTTTTTCTTTAATATTTTTTGTCTGACCTGTATATAAAATATAAATCTTTTCATTTAAAATCACATTATTTTAACAAAGTTATACGTCAACGCAACGTGTTTCTGTGATAGATTATAAGCTGATTACATGTATACAACTTTACAGGAATTCATACATGTATCCAAATTATCCTGATCAGTTTTGCAATAGATATTTCAAATGAAAAGAATCTGATTATATTAAACTACGGAAAGAGACAAATGAGACAAACCGATTTTTTAAAACTTGGATTAAAAAATTCTGTTCTGCGTAATCAGCTTAAAGGTATATATTATTACGTGATAGACCAGGTCTCAGCTATTTTAAATACCATTTACTGCCTTTGACACTTAAATATATTTTTGTAATCAACAATATTGTAATTTGTCAACGTAATTCTAATGTAGATGCACTTGTTAAAATGTAGAATTTTTTTCATATTTTGAATATTTAATACATGTTTTCATCTCAAAACAGCAAATTGTACATTATAAAAAGGGGTTGATCAACTTTCTGGCCTTCAGTTATATCGAATCGTTTCTGGTAGCTGATTATAAAATTCAGTCTGTGTATTTTTTTTAGATTGAAAGATAAGATTGTGGAGATTTACTTTTTTCAAGTCGACAGAACGTAAACAAAGGAACAATTAAGTTAGTTGGAAGGTAAAATAGAATTGAAAATACGTGATTTTTGTTATGTTTCAAAATGGCCTGCTTGATAAATATCATATCGAAATGTGGCATGTTTTCTTTAATGTAGATAAGACCCGACTTTTGCTAGGTGAAATAACAAAAATACTTTTGCGTACAAATTGAAGCATTTGCTTAATTGCATGGGATCTTTATATATACTTATCGGCTTCTTCTGATGTGTGGTGTTGTTTATTGTGTATAATATTTTTGTACTTTGAAATACACTGCGTATGCTCAATCTGTTTTAAACTCTTTGACCATGGGACACAGTTTGTGCCATTATCTATTTTACAATAAGTAGCTGTATGTGTTGCTTGCTATTAAAAAGCGCATTGTGATATCGTAGTTGATTGACATTAGATAGAGTTAAAGCTGAACTATAAGTCTCCGATTTACTATTTAATAAACCCGAAAAGTATCTCATTCTTTAATGTTAGATTTAATTTTGTATTATTTGTTATTTCTTAATTAATTGTAGCAATTAGATATTATTGATACTTAAAGTAGTAAATAAATGCAATATTATCTCCGTCCAATTTCTTCACCGACCACGAATTATTGAAATTGTTTTTTCTATTCCTTTGTAAATCATTAACATATAACATTCCTGGTTAATAACAACGATTAAAGACGTTATCACAATTCGATAAGTTTACTTCATTAAATTTAACTGTAAGTGTGACTAGGGTTAAACATTGGTAGCTTTCGATTATTACTCACTGAAATATACATCTATACCACCCATTATTTAACGACGAATACGCTTTGTAAGTATTACCCAGTACTGGTGAAACAGAATAGTAAATTATTGGTATGATCTACAAGAGACATTGTCTTAACATTTAATTAGAACTGATTTGAAGTTAAAGATAGAAATAAGCAACTCTGGAAAAAGTGCAGTGACTTTCATTTTTTTTACAGAGAACAAGCAATACTTAAGAAACAGTCATAATTGTTTCATTTCAACGTTGTTCTTAAAACAAAATGTCCATGTACAATGTCACAATTCTAATATTGGAAGACGATATTTTTGTATATAAACAAACTAAGATATATCTGCTGAATCTGTTATTGTTAGATGTACTTTTTACAAATAAAGTTTCTGTTTACCTGTTGTGTTCATGGTTTTAACTGATATCCTAAAGTATTGGTGTCCAATATTTTTATTTTCAACATTATTTTCTATTATTTGTTGTTTTGATTTTTTTCAGGTTTAGAATAACTGATGATTCCTGTTTAGTTTACGTAATGTTGACTATTACCATTTAAAACACTTTGTATAAATATCATATTTCAATACAAGAACCACGAAGAAAATACCAATATGTCTATATATATAATCATAATTCAAACTAAAATTCCATAAAACATAAAATTAGGGCAAAATATGAACAAAAGAAAGATTTGCTCGGAGACACCTGAAAAAGTACAAGAGAAAAAGGCAGGGTGTTCCGGAACAGTGAACGTATTCTTCTTCATCGCCGACACCCGCCATGAAATCTTTATCAATCCAAGTAAATAATGTCAAGTTCTCAAATGAGAACAAGGTATACAACAACGAAAACAGACAGTTTAGTTTAAGTAAATAATAAGTGGAAAAGTAAACACATAGCTGTAACGTGTTTTTAGGTTTCATCCGTGATGATAAAATCCCAAAGTGTCATAAATCTAAAGTCAATGTTATCATTTTAGTAGTGAATGACGTTGAACCGGTGTAAATAATTGATTGACGTTGACAGCGTGAAACATTATTGACTGAAATACTGCCTGTAATGAAACATGGTCATGTTCTGTCCCAGATGTACAGAATGTAACACCAAACAATTATTCTTGTATCAATGACATCGTCTGTTTTATAAGTATTTTTTTCAAAGTCTCCGTTAAAGTTCTTTCTTCAAAAAATCTTTATACGCTGATAACGCCTGTTTTCCCTTACCCAAGACAAATCTTGATGAAAAGAACCCGTGCTGAACTCCAGTAAAATGTTGATAGGAAACGCGAATACCAAGGTTTTGGAGACGCTTGACAAGAATCATACCGTCGTTTAAAAGTGGGTCATACTGACAAGTAAACACTAGCATCTTCGGGAGTTTCCGTAAATCTTCGTCAGTCGATAATAATGGCGACAGAAACTGATTAGATACAATAGCCTCTACATCTTTAGCAAGACTTTCGTTAAAATTTAATCTGTCATTAATCTGCTTGGCGCCAACATTTCCCCGAATGAACGAATTATCCACATAATGTCTGATGTTTTTCCACGACTCAGGCGACATATGTCTGTTATTAAAAAATTCTGTTATGTGTTCCTCATTGCCGAAGGCATAATTAAGCCATGCAGAAATCATGATCTGCTTCTTAAGTAAGAAAGGTCCTTCTGTGTAGGCGAGGTAGGAAGGCAAGTTGAAGTCAACCATCTGTAATGCAGGGTATACTAGTGACAAGGTACGTAAAGATGGTAGAGTTGTGTCCCTTGACTGTGAAAGTTTCACCGCTACTGCCATAGCAAGATTTCCCCCTGCACTATCACCTAAACACAAGATAAATACATTTGTCGAATAAAAAGTGTGAATAAGTTATCTTCCTGTGGTGAATATCTACTATTCCTCTCATCATAACTGGTTACTGATTCGTCATCTTAAGAAGTAATTGGTTTTTCTTTTTTATACATGTGAAAAGAAATATTTGTCAATGAAACAATTTCTGTGTATGGAATTACACATTTCATCATTAATACAATTGTTAGTTAATTCATTGAAGTTATCTCTCTGATCCAACTAAACTGTACCTCCAATTCCGATTCTACTTGGATCCACTCCGTAGTCTTTAGCGTTTCTAAGGAAATGAGTTGTAGCATTTAGGCAATCTTGTAGTGGAATAGGAAACGGATGTTCCGGGGTCAGTCGGTAACTATGGAAACATAACTTGTTATGTAAATAAAATCGATCAAAATCGCATCAGCGTTCGTATTATAGCCACCATAATTGTTGTCATAGTAGCGAATGAACAAACGTTTAAGATTATTTATATGTAGACATTAAAATTTTGCTGTAAATTTAATGTTAGCGATGTACCCTTTAACAGCCATGCCTTAAAAGCCAAGTCATTTACATTCGGCTAGCTCTCTCCCATCAAACCTCGCTTTTACATGTACGTTTCATGAAAAACATTTGAAATTGAAATTTGTATTTTATTCGATATAATTACATCAACGTCATCTATAAGTGATTAGATAATGGTAGTATCACAAGCAGGCACAATCTTGGACCAGTCAAGGCGAGATGTTTGAGATTCAAAACAAATAGTACTTACTCTACTGACACAACTACTGCCTTCACAGACCTGGCAATATCCCGTGTCTTCCTGTCGTATATATCTGTAGGTTTGTAAAACGTCCTCAATCATATTTATCTTGTAATGAACAACACGAACAAGGAATTGAACAGAAGATCAGACAGTGAGAACAGAATTTATATATATCTGGAATATAATGACATATCTTGTGCTGTATCTCCATGATTTCTGTCGCGGAATTAACCACCATTATCTTTACTACATCATTCTCACCAAGACAGCTGTACTACACGAAACACTTTCAAATCCAACATTTCTGTGTATGCATATCTAACGTAGTAAAATGATACAAAAAGAGTTCACACACCTGTAACATATATGCTACAATACTAGCGTACCGAGACAGGCGAGAACATTATGCTATATAATAGACTATTTGATGTGTTTGTGAGGATTACTTCTAATAAGTCAAGTCTGCCAGTGTTAAGTATTTTAAACAATGATACATACTGACGTTGCCCAAATACCATCCGCCACCATGTATGTACACAAAGCCAGTACGATCTCGGTTGGAATCTTTTGGAATATAGAGTCTCACTTTTACACCTCCAAATAAGGGCTCCGTTACCTGTAAGGAAATAGACTTACAGAGATGACGTTACATTAGCCACGGTCTGTACGGGATAAGTATGTCTGAACGTACGTCCTTAACCAAAGGAAGCTGCAATATACCTACTCTTAACAATCTGTTTGAAATATTCCGAATATTATTTTCTCTGACGAAAGAATATGTTCTGTACAATTTGCTTTTTCTGTTTCTCTGTTGTCCTTCATTGAAAGCCTAAAACTTCTTTATCAGACCAATCAACCTTAGATTGATTCTCCTCCCTTCAATGTGAACTGAACTGAACTAGCATGTATTCTATCAATACTCTTCCAAACTTTTCCTACCTCCAAATCCTCGTCACTCAGTTCTCGATCTGTAGTCAAGAATTGTGAAAACCATCTTCTGCAGTGGACAGAGGACGAGTAACCAATGTTTTCTTCAAAGGCACACTGCATGGTAAATAAATGAAAGCGGGCTGAATATTAAATCTCACGCCAATAGATACAAGTCAAGCGATGTCACTACTCCCTTTTATCACCATTATCACACAAGGTTTGTACACAACTGACAGAAGTATCTTCATTTAACTACTAATTTGAATATTTCCTCACCCAAAATTGATGTGGAAAAATGTCATTGCAGAGCCTCATTTCTGTACGTTGTAAAAGACATATTTTCGTAATAAATATAGGAATGATAACTGTAATCAACGCTTGAATCCATCACATGAAAACGCTATAACGATGGTAATAATTCGATATGGTTTCACCCCTTACCACATGGTTAACGATCCGTATCGGGACCATAGACAACATCATTTTCCACGGTTCGTCAGCATCAGCGGGGAAAGGATAATATACATAATAAGCCACGCCCACCAGCAGTACTGCCGACAATTTCAAAACGTTCTGCACGCGCATGTCGTGATTTGAGTACAGATCTACAAATAACAATGTTAACAAAACAGCTCATTTTAATACACTATTTCAGGTGACCTTACGGTAAAATTAAATCATCCTCGACAGAGTCTATAAATTGACCATCGCTTAGTGTAAATGTACTTTGTCTCTTCAGATCTCACATATTATGAAGCATATTGACAGACCTTGTTTCAGTACCAAGATCGAAAGTCGAAACATATTTAATGTTGTCACGCTAGTTCACACTAAGTAAGGGAGATAACTCGATGTTTGTATTGACTGATAGTAGAATGTGATCACATACACAAACGTACAGATAAAGTATAGCGAATATAACTAAACTAACAGACACTTACGTATAACCTGGACATAGAATCGCAATGGTTTACATTTTATATAAAGTTCTGTATATACCTGGTACGAAAACACTTCTTTCTGTTAACTGTAGTGTATGAAGCTCCGGAATCTTGCCCTTCGAAAGTGTATAGCATGTTCGATAAAGGTCAAAGGATACAAATCTACCCGTATGTGTGTGTGTGTGTGTGTGTGTGTGTGTGTGTGTGTGTGCTTTGATATCACAGTGACTAAGGCCATAAACTATAACGATGATATCTATGATAACTCTCGTCTTAGATAACATTCCAGCAAGGTTATCATACTTTCCGACGATGGTACAAACGTCCTACTACATCCGTCACAACAGACAATGGAAATAGTAACGAATTACTGGTAACGAAAAATGTGGCAGAGACGAAACAGATACAATTTGCTGATATTGAAATTATATATTTGCAAACATAATCGTTTTCCAATAATTCCGAGGAACAAAGGGGGAACAATTCACAAAATAAAATAAGAAAAAAAAATGCGAATTTGTGGTTTATCAGGTCTCAACATCAGACAGGAAATCTTAGGATAATGATGACCTTAAAAACAGCAATCTGTGTTATATTTTACAGGCAATCTTCCACTTCATGGCAATGTTAGGTACTTGTATGGCAATGTTAGGTAATTATATGGCAATGTTGGATACTTATATGGCAATGTTAGGTACTTATATGACAGTGTTAGGTACTTATATGGCAATGTTAGGTACTTATAGGGCAGTGTTAGATACTTATATAGCAATGTTATGTACTTATATAGCAATGCTATGTACTTATATGGCAATGTTATGTACTTATATAGCAATGTTAGGTACTTATATAGCAATGTTAGGTACTTATAGGGCAATGTTAGGTACTTATATAGCAATGTTAGGTACTTATAGGGCAATGTTAGGTACTTGTAGGGCAGTGTTAGATACTTATATAGCAATGTTATGTACTTATATAGCAATGCTATGTACTTATATGGCAATGTTATGTACTTATATAGCAATGTTAGGTACTTATAGGGCAATGTTAGGTACTTATATAGCAATGTTATGTACTTATATGGCAATGTTAGGTACTTATATGGTAATGTTAGGTACTTATATGGCAATGTTATGTACTTATATGACAATGTTAGGTACTTATATGGTAATGTTAGGTACTTATATAGCAATGTTAGGTACTTATATAGCAATGTTAGGTACTTATATAGCAATGTTAGGTACTTATATGGCAATGTTAGGTACTTATATAGCAATGTTAGGTACTTATATGGTAATGTTAGGTACTTATATGGCAATGTTAGGTACTTATATAGCAATGTTAGGTACTTATATAGCAATGTTAGGTACTTATATAGCAAATGTTATAGGCAATGTTAGGTACTTATTATATGGTACTTATATAGTAATGTTAGGTACTTATATAGCAATGTTAGGTACTTATATGGTAATGTTAGGTACTTATATGGCAATGTTAAGTACTTATATGCACTTGCTGTCAGATCATCGCTTATTACCATACCCTGGCGATAACGACCAAGTGTTGCTGAGTAGACACTCAAAAGGGTTTCTGTTTTAAAAATATTTTGCCTGTATTGGTGAACAACCGTCGTAAAACTTGTATAAAGTATGTCGTTATGAATCATTACTTGGCAAACACAAAAAAAACCCCCAAAAAAACAAAAAAACAAAAGACACAAAAAATACACAAAAAGCAACGAAAAATTTTACAGGAATTCAAGTTGTCAACAGAAAACAGGAAAAGCCTTTTAGAACAGCAGTGACGAAATACGTGATAATCGCCATTGAATCTCAGAATCCTATTTAACGTTACTTTGATAAATGATAATTCAAGTATGTAGTAAATTAAAGAAGTTGTATTGTCCACTTTACCTTATGTGTATCTACAGAAGCGTCTTTTACAGAAAAGGCAAATAAACTTTCTATGACGCTGCTGAACATTAAGTAAATGCATGGTGACGGTTTGGATGGATATAAAACAAATCGAAAACATCTCAACGTGATTTTATTTACAAAACATATGGCATTGTTTGTGTTATAAACACTATCAAATAAAATGCACTATGACACGATACCGTTCAGCCATGTATAAAAACGCCGCGCACAGAGTCACTCACTTAGTAATAAATAAATAATAAAAACTTTATTTATTTTACAACAATTGCGAAACAAGTTATTCCAACTTATACTAATCACTCTTGTTGGCCCAGATGTAAGCGCGCGAGGGGTCTTATTGTAGGTGGAAACCGGAGCACTCGGGGAAAACCCACGTGGTCGGGCAGGTGACCCTTACCTTTTCACATCCATTCTGTGAATCGAACCCCGATCGGCTAGGTGAAAGGCGAGTGCGTCACCCGACCACTCACTTAGTATATTACATACTTCTGATAAAAATGAAGCGAGTCAGTATAATTGTATATTCTCAATGAATCCCAAAGATTTTACAAGTCCTAACAAAAGAAATGATGTATATTTTTCTGTATTTTGGTGGAATATTTAAGTATAACGAAAAAAATACCATATTGATTAATTATCGTTTTTACTGTAGACGTACTTTCAAACCCAATTATGATTGGACGTGTATTCATGTTTATTCTGGTGTCTATATTTCAATGTTACAAATATCAACCATGTTTCGTCATGTTCTTTCTTCTCTTTTCAGCAACACGTGAATGTCTGATTGAGTAATAGTCATCTGTGTTAATTTTAGGTCGACTTTTTAAAGAAGAACGAATTAAGTACGAATGGTCAGGTGGCAAAAATTTCCAAACGTTTGGTCTGGTGCCAATGTTAGTGCTATCATGTACGGGGATAGGACCGGGACGATATGACACACGAAACACGGACTGCCAAAGTTTAGTGTACGTCGGTTTATTATAAGCAGTGAAGGTCTGAAAAGTACAGAAATAAGACAGAATTACAGTATGTTTACAATGGGAATAATCGTAAAAATAAACGGAAACCACCTGATTTGACTTGGGACGAATCGACCTGACTACGACTAGCAAAATTCCAATCAACAAAATACAGCGAGAAACTCACTGTCATGTAATAAATCTTACTAAACTACACAGCGAGAATGGTGTCTGTTACGTTCGATCACTAATCAAATCAATAATTCAACGATCTCATAAAAAAAAACTTACATTATGGTCTCTCTAACTCACGGAGAGTTTGGGTCTCCAATATTGCAAAACGCATAACAAATGTATACACATTGAGTTCCACAAGGGGAAGTAACTACTACTGAATAACTATAGGTCACGCGTAAGTATGGTTAGCATACCATAGTTTTTGTAAATATAACTACTTGTAACAGGACTGTCGCCTTTATCTTACTGCTTTTTTCTTTAATAACAGGCATTTTCTGCTACTTCTAGGGGGAATTATTTTCCAACAAACGTCACTTTAATTAAACTGTCGAGTGATACTTGAATGATAAGAAATAAAGATATAAAAATGTTAAATTTAGATTTGATATTACAAGCGAATAATGATAAACTTTATTTATTTTACAACAATTGTGAAACAAAATTTTCCAACTTGTATTAATCACTCTTGTTGGCCCGGGTGGAAGCGCGCGAGGGGTCTTACTGTGGGAGTAAAAAGACGTACTCGAAGAAAGCCCACATGTTCGGGAAGGTGGCCCTATACCTTTTCACGTCCGTTCTCGGGAATCTAACCTCGGACGGCTGGGTGAAAGGCGAGTGTGTTACAACGGCACCAACCGCCAACCATATTAGGAGCTTCGAAGTATATTCCATCCACACAGAGATTAAATACTTTATTTAACATTGTTTAACTCTTGAATTTCGTGTGATAGAAAATAGTCAAGAATAATTTTCATCATTGAACAAGAGAGTGTCACTGTGCTTCAAACTTTTTAATGTTAAATAAAGCCTTTTTACGAGATCAAGAAACAATCTTAAATAAGTTTTTATCAGGTTCTAAAAATCAAGTCAGTCGCAAAGCCATATTCCCGTAAATCATATCTGCCAATCCAATGACAATTCATGAAAACTTTGTTGATCCTACCCAAAACTTCCGGGGTCCTAGCCAATAACCCACCAACAGTATAACGTCAATTAGAAATCTACAATCATCCTATTTATCGCTGCACTTTACCACTGAAGGTCAGCTAGTGTTGATACGATGCATCAACAGATCACGTCTCAGACATTACAGCCAATCTGTTTTCTATCGAAGAAAATCATAATTCCAGTCAAGCATGACTTTGACATGTCAATGTATGGGACCATATAGATCGTTCATGTTTGTAATTACGATGTTAAGATGTATATCCAAAATATAAAGTATGTAAGATGTAGTATCATAATAAGATTTATTTCTTCATGATGTTGTTTTATCTTAAAACACATTCTCCAAAAGGTATTTACATTTTTTATCTACCTTCTTTAGATCACATGTATTCGCCGATATTGTTTTATATAATACTCGAGTAAGCGACCCCATATTCTTGTTAACGTTTCATAATTTCATATGCTGATTCTATGTTGTCACAGTTTTATAGATGAATGGAAAAAATTCAAACTGTAATATGATATGAAAGGCAATAAGATGTTATTGCGAGACTTGCTGTTCGGTCTACCTTTTCTAGTGACATTTTCTTCTATATTTATATACCTTTGCTGTCGTTTTCTGTGTTTCGTGTTTGTGTTCAGTATAATTAATTTCATGGTATAAAGAGATCAGGGTATCAAAGTAGACATCTTCGCGTTTAAGAACAAAAGGATTTATCAAATCTAGTGTCCTCGGCGTGTTGATGTAAGAAAGGTACTAAGGGCTTTCCTTGATATCTAGTTGTCCCTATCAGCCTTTAGTTAAATAAAAGTTAGTAGGCGCTCCTAAAAACTGCCACTTTTTCCCGAAGAGAGTTCCTGCTAAAAAGTATAATTAATTTGGGTAGCACAGTTCAACATTACACATATACCTCTCTATTGTGTCCCCTTAGGTCTAAACGACATGGCCTCGGACAAAAACCCTTTATATTGATCACTACTCCGTTCGACATCAGTATCAGCTCTGTACACTGCAGACGTATTTTATAGACAATGTCACATTTATCAAACAAAACTCAGAATCTGTAACTAAAAAATGATAGTCATGATGTTTTGTGACGATGAAGACTTTTTAACCGATTTCACAAAAACCTGAATTTCAAATAAACACGCGTTCAGTGCATTTGACAACCACAATAGCAGAGCTAATATTGTAAAAGGAGCGGGTCGGCGTGGCTTGTACATAGTATTAAATACGGTCTCTGTCACTCAGCTGACATAGCATGCTGGCTTATCACGCCGGAGACCCGGGTTCGATTCCTGGTCGGGGCACTCGACAGGAATGTGTATTTCCCGTTATTCTACAATATCACTGGCTTTAGAGGATCTATTCCAACATGAGAAAACAGCATCTACCATGTAGTTTATTGTGTCTGAACTGCAGTAAGACTTAAGTTAATCCATCAACCGATTTCTGAAAGACAGATACACGTTGTCCTCACTCATGGTCATCAGGTGTGTCCTCGTGATCGTCAGATATTCCTAAAGAACGATAAGGTATCAATTGTACCCAGACATTACGAACGGCAAATATCAATTTGTTTTGGTCCGATATATATAACCTGAGTGTACGGGTCATATGAAATAGTCACTGCCTAAATGCGAGCAATATGATAAAAAATGCACATTTAAAACGACGAATCGATGAATTCACTGAAGCGTATTTTGTTTTTTTTATTTTTGTTTGTTATCATTTTGTTTGTTTTTTGTTTTTCGTTTTTTGTTTTTTGTTTATTTTTTCAATCTTACTTAAATTGTGCAAGATTTTAACAAAACACACGGCGACATATCCACATATAGCAATGTTTGACGTCATCAACTTCTTTTCCTTCTGGACACCGTTGCATCATCTTCATTATCATCACAAGGTTGGTCGGGTGGCGCACTGGTTACACACTATCTTCCACTTCGATTGTCTGAACGGATACGTATATCAGGTGTGAGTAGTATTAATTAAATTGCTTATCAAGGTAGGATTCCGCGAACTGTCCAACCTTTTATCACTTGTATTGTGATAAGCTTCCTTGCCGATTGGAAGCGAGAATGTACTAATCTCGACAAAGTGGCACTTGAACAGGCCATTCTAAGCAAGGACATACCCACCCCTAGAGGGTCCAGTATGTTACAACGTGCTATTTTAGGGTTTTATTATTTATTTGCATTTAGATTTTTTCAGTAAACAAAAGTTATGCATGGCTTAACTACCAGAAAGTCTAGGGAGAGTGCTGGGATTAGTATTGGTGTTTTTTTTTAATCTTGGAGAAAGGTTCGATAGTACTGAAATGGTATTTTGACAAAAGATTTAAGTTCATCTTACCAATGAACGAATCAAATTGATATGTCAAGTGTACGTCGTTTCGACAAAGTTATTTTTAGGTTTTGATTTTTATTATTTATTTGCATTTAGATTTTTTCTGGTACGGTTTGTTAATCTTACAAAAGTTGGAGATGTAAAGATTTAAATATTCATATGTTACAGGAAAAGTCTATTGTTTTAGTAATGGTGCTGGGATTAGTATTGGTCTTTTTTTTTAATCTTGGAGAAAGGTTCTCTCTTCCTGAAATTCTCTTTGACAAAAGATTTAAGTTCTCTCTCCAATGAACTCTCAAATTCTCTCCGTCAAGTGTATGTCTCTCTCGTTTCGACAAAGTTATTTTTAGGTCTCTCTCTCTTGATTTGTCTCTCTCTCTCTCTTTTCTCTTCATTAGAAGGTCTTCAACTCTCTCCTTTCTTACACTTCTCTCCTCCTCTCCTCTACGGTTTGTTAATCTTATAAATGGTTGGAGATTTCGGTAAAGATTTAAATATTCATATGTTACAGGAAGTAATGAACCCTTCTATTGTTTTAGTAATGGTGACTGACTCTCCTCCTCTCCCTCCTTCCTCTCCTCCTCTTCCTCCTTCCTCTCCTCCTCTCCCTCCTGCCTCTCCTTCTCTTCCTCCTTGCTGTCCTCTCCCTCCCCTCCTCCTTCTCTCTCTCTCTCCTCTCCTCCTCCTCTTTCCTGTCCTCCTCTTCTTCTCTCCTCCTCTTTCTCTCCTTCCTTCCTCTCCTCTCTCTTCTCTCCCTCCTCTCTCCTCTTCTTCTCTCCTCTCCTCCTCTCCTCTCTTCCTCTTTCTCCTTCTCTCTCTTCTCTCCTCTCCTCTCTCTCTCCTCTTCCTCCTTCTCTCTCCTCTCTCCTCTCTCTCTCCTCTCCCTCCTGCCTCTCCTTCTCTTCCTCCTTGCTGTCCTCTCCCGCCTTCCTCCCTCCTCTTCCTCCTTCCTGTCCTCCTCTTCCTCCTTCCTCTCCTCCTCTTTCTCCTTCTTCTTCTCCTCTTCCTCTTCCTCTTTCTCCTTCATCTCCTCTTCCACTTTCTCCTCCTTCCTCCTGCCCTCCTCTCTTCCTCTCCTCCTTGCTGTCCTCTCCCGCCTTCCCCCCTCCTCTTCCTCCTTCCTGTCCTCCTCTTTCTCCTTCCTCTTCTCCTCTTCCTCTTTCCTCTCCTCCACTTTCTCTTTCATCTCCTCCTCTCCCTCCGTCTTCTCCTTTTCTCCCTCCTTCCTCTCCTAACTTTCCGTCTTATCCTGGGCTGTCTTTCTTAATAGTAACACGATCAACTGAAAGAAAGAAAATGGCACCTTCATTAATGCATATCAGGTACATATCGTGAAATGAAGCGTGGTAACGGAAACAATATTATGTCAAGATTGTAAGGAAAAATAATAAAAATAGCACCCTCATCAATACATGTCAGGAAAATTAATTCTTATCTTCAAATGAATCCGGGGTAACAATATAGTAAAACGAAAACAATATGATGTCACGTGATTGTTGAAAAATTCTTCAGATTTATTGTAGCAACTGAGTCAGATAGGCTACAGAGAAAGAACTCTTTTATTGTCATTATCACTCTTAGTTCGAAATCAGTGAAATAGGAATGTTATAAAACAAGGATAAGTTATGCCGTAATGGTAAAATAATCACCGCTTTATTATCACCTCCATAATAAATGGTTTTAGTAGTTCCAATAACTGAAGGTACACTTTGACGATCGAGGATTAAATGAAGTTTACAGCGATTTAATGTGTAATGACAATATCATCAAAGGAAAAGCATTTCATTGGCAAGCTGCTCCTGTATTAGCCTTCAAAGCATATTCACTGGGCATTCTCTTCTCAATGGGAGACGTGACATCACCGATGAAATTCTGATAGCAATTGAGGAACAGATTCTACATGCTTCTATAAAAACGTATCTTTGACGTAATTTATTTTAGTTTGATTTATGTGATTTTACAAAGTCAGAAGGTAGTTTGAAGGAAAACAAATATTTTTTTGTTGGTGAACGTCAGTGAGGACAACAAAATTAGGACTGCATAGAGTACTCCCAGAGTGTATAGACTAAAAAGTGTGATTGGATATTTTTGTTCTAAACATTATTGATAACTATTCAGTTGTCAATATGATACAAGTTCGGAACACCGTATTCATTATTGTGTTATCGACATACATCTTGAATATTCCTCAAACGATCTGTTTTGACCAGCCTGGGTTTTTCACGTCGGCCTTCTCGTCGCGTGATGGAGTCGTCGAGGATATTTACAGCGCACAAATATTATCAAGTGTGTCGGGGGTGCGATCCTCCCTCAATTGTGCCAGTTTGTGTCGGGGCTGTTCTTCGTTCTCCTATAACAGAGAAACAGGTATATGTACCACATACAGTGACCAGTTGTGTGCAACACAAAATGGAAGCATCTCGGACGTTAAAGTCTATTTCAACAGGATAAAAATTAGTGGAAAGCGTGGTATGTAAGATGGTCGCTCAAGGCTGCAGATCTATTCCATGTCTCTTCTGACATAGGAATATGTCTGGAACATGATATAACACAATTGGAGTAAGATACAGTAAAACCCAGTAATGATTTAAAATCCCTCATGCAACCGTTTCATCTCAAGAGTGATGCCTAAGTGCCTTAATTGTTGAAACGTAAAAAGTAACTGAAGGAGATTTAAATTTGTCGAATTAAATGTCAAAACAAGATTGGCTAGGGTGGAGTAAGCCTTAAATAGAATCTACATCATCACTTTAAATAATAGATAAAACGGTGAATGGGATTGAGATCATATAATCCTGCAGAATTTACATATCACGTATAGATGAAGCACGTTTTCTTACAATTGTTTGCAATGATTTTTCGATTTTTATATCTTGTATAACTGCTTTGTGATGGCGATCATAGTCAGTACAATTACCAAATAGACAGATATATTTTCAACTTTACTATCATATTGTAGTGTCTGCTAAAAAGTAGATTATGAATTTAAATCTATTTATGGATATAAATTGCTTTGTTTTTCACAAGTATAGAATTCTACTGAAGGGAGTGGAATAACTTTGTGTTAACTTAATTATATTATTTTACTTTATATTTCTCAATAATTCTATCTCTTACACTCATTCCAGACTTTGACAGCTGTACCTAGAGGACGACAGATATGTGTGTTTTATACTGCAACAGATGTGGTAAAATATGGTCGTTTTGATGTACAAACAAACAAGCGAACTATTTAAATGTTGCTTCGAACCTTCCTGTCTATCCAGCTTCTGAACGTCTTCATCGCCCGCTTCTGAAGATCTCATTCGTCCTTTTCCAGTAAAATCTTAAATATCATTTCTGTTATCATGTCTTTATCAGGCAGGATCAATGGGATATCTTTTCGTTCTTTTATAACCACACATTCATTGGGTGTAGATTCAAAACCCAAGCCCATCAGTCACTGATCAATAAGCGAGAACCAAGGAAACTAATTTCATATTGTGATTTCATAGCTTCGACCAATACTCAATAAAAGTTCATTGTAATAACATTTTGATATACCTCTATATCATATATTATATATTAACACTCAAATGTAGGAATTTCTCAATTTGATGAAAACTTATATCATCATTGCAGCGATGTGCAACCATCAAAGATTCTCTATTAAGAAGAATCTATCTAATTGCCTTCTTATCGAATTATATCCCCTCAACACAGAGAATGAGAAATACTGGATAGGCGATAGCCTGACGGGTGTCAGGTGAAATTTGTGTGCAGCTTGTAACTGACATTGCCAGACTTATAATTTGGTGTACTAAATGCAATCGCAGCAAACAACATTGCATTTTATACAAATGTATAGAATCTGGCAAACAGCTCTTTGTAGTATAAGATTTCAAGACAAGCGTTAAGTAGCATTCTTTAAGGGAAAAGACAGAAAACGAGTAGGTACACGGTACAGCAAAATGAAATGATAGAAAAAGTCTATACAGATCTGATATCTATCAGTGTAACATAAATGGAAGGCTTTAGGCGACGTGTGTTCCTATTCTGTGTGCTATTTCTTTGTCCAGTATGATGGTAACATAAATGGAAGGCTTTAGGCGACGTGTGTTCAAATTCTATGTGTTATTTCTTTGTGCAGTATGATGGTAACATAAATGGAAGGCTTTAGGCGACGTGTGTTCATATTCTATCTTTGTGCAGTATGATGGTAACATAAATGGAAGGCTTTAGGCGACGTGTGTTCCTATTCTGTGTGCTATTTCTTTGTGCCGTATGATGGTAACATAAATGGAAGGATTTAGGCGACGTGTGTTCCTATTATGTGTGCTATTTCTTTGTGCCGTATGATGGTAACACAAATGGAAGGCTTTAGGCGACGTGTGTTCAAATTCTATCTTTGTGCAGTATGATGGTAACATAAATGGAAGGCTTTAGGCGACGTGTGTTCATATTCTATCTTTGTGCAGTATGATGGTAACATAAATGGAAGGCTTTAGGCGACGTGTGTTCCTATTCTATCTTTGTGCAGTATGATGGTAACATAAATGGAAGGCTTAAGGCGACGTGTGTTCCTATTCTGTGTGCTATTTCTTTGTGCCGTATGATGGTAACATAAATGGAAGGCTTTAGGCGACGTGTGTTCAAATTCTATCTTTGTGCAGTATGATGGTAACATAAATGGAAGGCTTTAGGCGACGTGTGTTCATATTCTATCCTTGTGCAGTATGATGGTAACATAAATGGAAGGCTTAAGGCGATGTGTGTTCCTATTCTGTGTGCTATTTCTTTGTGCAGTATGATGGTAACATAAATGGAAGGCTTTAGGCGACGTGTGTTCAAATTCTATCTTTGTGCAGTATGATGGTAACATAAATGGAAGGCTTTAGGCGACGTGTGTTCATATTCTATCTTTGTGCAGTATGATGGTAACATAAATGGAAGGCTTAAGGCGATGTGTGTTCCTATTCTGTGTGCTATTTCTTTGTGCAGTATGATGGCGGACGTGTTTGATGCTCGTTAATTTGATCCCGTTTTTGTTTCCTGTGTACTTATTTGGAAACATGACATTATTTACTTGGATTAACAAAGATTTACTCGTCGTCGACGAAGCTAAAGATGCTTACTCTTCTAGAACACCTGGTCTTATCTTTTTGGTTATTAGGGAGAGGGGGATGGGGGGAGGTTGCACGATGCTAAGTTATACCACAGATGTTGTATTTACTTGTAATTACGTACTTAAGCGTTTCCATGATGAAGTGTTACATGAAGTGTCGGGTGATCGGGTGGCGCAGTGGTAACGCACTCGCCTTTCACCTAGCCGTCTGGGGTTCCATTCCCGGAATGGATGTGAAAATGTATGGTTTACCTGACGGCCACGTGGGTTTTCCCCGGATATTCCGGTTTCCTCCCATAATTTAACCCTTCGTGCGCTTACATCCGAGCCAACAAGAGTGATTAGAATAATTTGGAATAAATTGTTTCGCATTTGTTGTAAAACAAATAAAGTTTATGGTTTATAGATATAAAGGTTACATATCATTGACCTAATTACCGTGAAATAAGTGGTACATATAGTTGTATACAATTAGAAATACATATAATCGATGAAGTAATTGTAAACACAATATAGGCGAAAACAAGATGTGACTCTCTGGGACAATATGACAGTACTGTTAGCCTGAGAAGAATTAAATTTTATAAATAAAATGTTTGACACATCTGAAAATACTTTCATTCTCATCAATGGATAAATTTAGATCACCGACAGGAAGTGTGTCCAGGGTGTAGTTATCACGTAAGTTTACAAAGCATTCGTCTTTTATAGTCGATAAGATACAAGGAAATCATACTTACACGGCAATAACATCTTATAACATTCATTCGGTTTAGAATTAGCTTTTCAATAGATGCCTATAGTAGTTCCAGCACTGTATTTGTAGTTCCAACAGAGTATGTAGTTCCCACACAGTATATGTAGCACCGACATAGTTTATGTTGTTCCCAAATAGTGCCTGTTGTTCAAACAGTGTATTTAGTTCCGTCACAAATTATGTAATTCCTACACAGTGTATGTTGTTACCACACATATTATATTGTTCCCACACAAATTATGTAATTCCCACACTGTATGTTATTCTCACACAAAGTATGTAGTTCCAACACAGTATTTGTAGTTCCCACAGTGTATGTAGTTCCCACACAGTTTATGTTGTTCCCATACAGAGTATGTAGTTCCCACACAGTTTATGTTGTTCCCACACAGAGTATTTAGTTCCCACACTGTATGTTATTCCCACACAAAGTATTTAGTTCCCACAATGTACGTATTCCCACACAGTGTATGTTAATCCCACACAAAGTATGTAGTTCCAACACAGTGTATGTTGTTGTCAGTTGTCCCAAGTAGTGACCTAAAGATTTGAAACATGTATTGAGATTTTCTAAATTTGAGTATTCAAATCTTAATTCCCAATTGTCCAAATTTAATCTAAATGTGGTATGTATTCTATGATAATTAAATGTTGTTACTATGATTTTACGAATGGATTAAGGTTCTCGGTTAGATGAAATATGAATTGCAGTTCAAAGAATGGCATTAATACTAAAATTTGTTTTAAATGAGGTAATATATATTGGCTAAACGAGTAATGAGTACGCATGACTGTACATACACAGCTGACAATAACAGAATATTCGTGGAATCTACATGTCAATAATCTTATTCATATTTGTGACGGCGACTTCAATGTATTGCCTTACAAATAAGTTACTTTTTCTCAGAATAACTTTCAAAATTTATTCAGTAGATCTTGTAATACCCGAATAATCTCTAAAAATAACACCATATCGTCAGCATAATGAATAAAATGAAGTCTTAAAATTCATAATGTAAATTACAGTGCGTTATAAAGAATCATTCACAATCGTTGACAAAGGAAAAAACCAGGTACAGGATTTCCTCCTGGAATATTTTATAGTTTGAACCACAAATGAACACGATCAACACGGTCAAGTGCTTTTAGGAAATCAATGAAGCAGTCGTCTAAACGTTTGTTGATGCTGAAAGATTTAGTAATAGCACATATTAAATATACCTAGGACATTTTTATGTACAAACCATCTTAAAAAATTGTTTGTTTGTAAATTAACATCGATCCTTAAGCTTGTCCTCACGTTTATTAGCAAATCCATACAAACGTTTACCACCTGCCCACCTGCACTTGTACGCTCTGTGTGTACCCGGCACATAGGCGAATCTAATAGTAGTTGAGAGATAATACCAATGATTGCTGCAGTAAATAACCCTTGTGTAACCGATTCTCCAATCTGAACTATATAATTTATTTTTGCTATATTTACTTCATTTTCTATAAAATCAGATATTATTAACTATACATACTTACGTGTGTCCTCGAATGTACCATCGCTCTTGGCCAATGAAAGACACGTATACATCTCCACGTGTAGGGGGCGTGGTCTAATGATACATTGGAATTTCCAACATTTAACAATGGACAGATGTAAGTTATGACAGGCTTAGGCGAAAAAGCAAAACACTGGAACCAATATCTCCACAATATGCATAAATGTTTGAGAAAAGACGAAAGACAACTCAACGTATGCTTATGACGTATGTTTGTAACGTATATTGATGACATATCATGTTGGTAACGTATGTTGATGACGTATATTGGTAACGTATGTTTGTGACGTATCATGTTGGTAACGTATGTTTGTGACGTATCATGTTGGTAACGTAGGTTTGTGACGTATCATGTTGGTAACGTATGTTTGTGCATATCATGTTGGTAACGAATGTTTGTGCATATCATGTTGGTAACGTATGTTTGTGACGTATCATGTTGGAAACGTATGTTTGTGATGTATCATGTTGGTAACGTATGTTTGTGACGTATCATGTTGGTAACGTATGTTTGTGACGTATCATGTTGGTAACGTATGTTTGTGACGTATCATGTTGGTAGCGTATGTTTGTGACGTATGCTGGTGACGTATGTTTTGTGACATATGTTGGTGTAGCCTGGTTTGCTAACAAGGAAGTAAAACGCAAAATACTATTTAAATGTATTAGTCCCACACCAAGTGACACGGCATTCTGGCCATGACTTTTCACAGACACATTTACACATACGTTTATTGGGCCCGAGTTTTGATCGTACATTTTTAAAGTTCTAACAATGTAAAGGTTCTGAATAATTGTTGTGGTAATAGCATTCATAATGATCTTTAAAAAACAAAAATAAAGAAATCATTCAAAGACTTAATACTTAAATTGACATACTTCCTGAAAATTATAGAAGTACTCATCTAGATGGTATAAGATATCATAGTTATCTGTAAACATAATAACGTAACAATGGTGATTTCATTTCCGTGAAAGATAACTTTTATCATTGTAATGGCTGGCGTTACTCTTAACAACAGCCAAATATTGACACTCTTACACGTAAGTGGAGTTGATACAAAAGGCAGTGTTCAATCATTGTCACCGTTCATGTCACACGATATAAAAACTATGTCGAGGTTAGGTATAATGATAATATAATAATAATTACTGTGTATGTCCGGATCTTCCATGTATTCCGGATCTCCATGTAGTTCGAATCTCCGAATGTATGTGACGTATGTTGATAACTTATGTTTGTGACGTATGTTGGTAACGTATGTTTGTGAGGTATGTTGATAACTTATGTCTGTGACGTATGTTTGTGACATATGTTTGTGACGTTTGTTTGTGAGGTATGTTAGTGACGTATGTTGATGACGTATGTTGTTGACGTATGTTTGTGACGTATATTGGCAACGTCTATTCGTGACGTGTGTTGGTGACGTGTGTTGGTAACGTATGTTGATGACGTATGTTGATGACGTGTGTTGGTGACGTATATTGGCAACGTCTATTCGTGACGTGTGTTGGTGACGTGTGTTGGTAACGTATGTTGATGACGTATGTTGATGACGTGTGTTGGTGACGTGTGTTGGTAACGTATGTTGATGACGTATGTTGATGACGTGTATTGGTGACGTGTGTTGAAGAACTTCTTTTCAATGATATCGATTTACATAACTTGTTTGATACTTATAAGATATCATTTTTTTTTCCTGTAGAATACTTTATGATTTATTAGTGGTACACCACTCGTTAATGTTATCCTAAAAACCCTCATATCATACAAGATATATGAGATATAAGTTATTATAATTAGATTGTACCTACTGAGGGTTCCATTATACACTGTACAACTTCTCATCAAAGTTGAAACCTAGGAAAAAGTCGCGGTCTCGGAGGAATTCTGAAATTCTATGCATTAATAATATATTTCAGAAACATTTGTTTTGTTGTAGAATAAAAATACTTGTAGTATAGCATATTTCATGATTACATACATAACGTATTTATCATTGCAATTCAAGCTTTATTTAGATAATCAATATGGCTATAATATGAATGTGTATATTTAAGGCTCTGTGTATTCTTGTCCGTATCGAGCACATGTCCTGTATTAACCTGAAACTATACAACTTGAAGTCCTTTAAGGTGTATCTAACCGAGAACTAGTATTGTGTGATCCGAGTCGTGTTTTAAGTAGTGTGTGTGTGTTGGTGTGTAAATACGCTTTGTATTCGTCTCACAGGGTATATCAATCGATTAAATTGCCGACGATCATCTACCAAAACACGACGTGTGTTGTTCTGACGTACCCGCCTTATTAATTATACCATACACACATGTACACACGTGTATCTCATACCAGTCAATAGTATTGATCTCATTGATCTTTGTGTTACTGTCGTGTTACGTATATCACATTAAGGCGAAGAAGACTGACAAGAAAACATATACACCGTGTTGTCACATGGTACCCGGGATATGTTATTGTTAATGATGATTTAAGACATTTGTGTTCCGTTCGAAGACACATGGATTCCATGAGATTTGTCTACCATATGGGGACAGGTAACTGTGTAGATTAGAATATCGAGTCTACAGGAATTCATAGAAGGAAACTAAGATAAAGGAGAGAGCTGTTCCGAGAATAAGGGACGATGGCGGAAAACGTAAAGGTAGCAGTTCGAGTGAGGCCATTCATATCCTTTGTAATAAATTCGTTTATCAGTGTCATCAATGATCACATGTGTTTGAGGATGATTGCAGCATAAGTACAATCGATTCAGCGTTGCCAAGCACGCGCAATCGCTAATCGTCAGGCAAGTCTTTATTTCCGGTTCAGTTATTGATACAAAGACTTTGTGGAAACATACCATATTTATGTACTGATCATCGTAGTTTAATAAGTCTAACCAAAACATTTGCTTGTTTTTCGAAAATGGTTTCAAAGCTGTAAATCAATTCTGTCAGAAGAGGGTTTATTTTAATTGGTAGCGTCCCATGTGTGATTCTATTGGGGCGTCTATTGTACATACACGCATAGCTATCTCTAGATATAGTATGCTATATATACTATATACTATAGCAAGATAAGACATGCCTGGTTTGCTACCAAGGAAATAAAACGAAAAATGCTATTTAAATGTATTAGTCCCACACCAAATGACACAGCAATCTGGTCATGACTTTTCACAGACACATTTACACATACGTTTATTGGGCCCGAGTTTTGATCGTACATTTTTAAAGTTCTAACAATGTAATGGTTCTGAATAATTGTTGTGATAATAGCATTCATAATGATCTTTAAAAACAAAAATAAAGAAATCATTCAAAGACTTAAAACTTAAATTGACATACTTCCTGAAAATTATAGAAGTACTCATCTAGATGGTATAAGATATCATAGTTATCTGTAAACAAAATAACGTAACAATGGTGATTTCATTTCCGCGAAAGATAACTTTTATCATTGTAACGGCTGGCGTTACTCTTAACAACAGCCAAATATTGACACTCTTACACGTAAGTGGAGTTGATACAAAAGGCAATGTTCAATCGTTGTCACCGTTCATGTCACACAGTATAAAAAATATGTCAAGGTTAGGTATTAGTGTTACAGACCTATAGTTACAGATGTACGCTGCGCGATTGTTTACTAGATATACGATATATATACAGTTAGCAAATAAGGTTACTGATAATTACTGTGTATGTCCGGATCTTCCATTGAGTCCGGATCTTCCATTGAGTCCGGATTTTCCATTGGTGTTTATTTCAGAAAGAGCTTTTGAATTTTATCAAATTCTGATCCTGAGAAAGTTAGTAATTTTCATCCTATTATAAAGGGAGATAACTTCAATCTTTGTAATTACTTGTTATGCACTTATGCTGTTTGCACTTATAACACAGTAATACTGTAGCAATGCCACAAATTGTAAACATGAAGTGATATCATCAAAACAATTAGAGCGACGTATCAAGTACAGGGAAAATTTAAAACATAATATTGAAAAACCAAAAATAAAAACAATGATGTCTTCTTTTCAATACAGACACAGAGATGTCTTTTCAGGTTTTTCAAAAAGTGCACATTTGTCAAAACATTGGCAGGTTGTACCATTAGATGTTCCACACCATCAATTGACTATCGTCTATCATCCTACTGATGTCGACATCTTCACAAGTGTGTGAAATCGCTGTTAATTTTTACATTATATCGGATCCTAGAATTATCCCCCCTTCTCCTCAGTGATCACACGCACGAAAAAAATGTGAGGACAAAGGTAACACCTATTACATAATTTTGTATCAGAAGATCATGTAAGTTTTTGTTTAAATATAGGAATATTTTAATTAACCAGAAATTATACATAAAATTAACAAACATCAACTGTTTGATACATGTACAAAGTATTAATATATATAGCAACCTTCATAACATGCAATGTCATTTAATCTACAATACATCAGTAAGGCTACTTCAGTACATGATCCTAACGAATTGACCTTGACACTAGCTCACAATGAAAGAGAGGAGGACAGAAATGCCACTCCTGTCATCAAGATGGAGGGAAAATGTACGGAGATTTTCAACCCCGAGGATATGAAAGCGGAACCAAAGAAATTCAACTTTGATTATTCCTACTGGTCACATGATGGATACACGAAGCGCCCGGATGGATATATGGAACCGGCAGAACCGAAATATGCCGATCAGGTACATTTAGTATAAACTAATCTGATCGGGTTTGACCTTTGAACTTGTTTGTTTAGATATGATGTTACATGTCTCCTCTTTTATCATGTACTGTAATACTGAGGAATTCTATCTTCGTATGGTTTTAACTGTACACATAGCATACCTTAATCAACATGTAAACAATTTACTTTGTATCTAATTAAAATTATTTCTTGGGGAACGGAAAATACACATAAAGTCATCAGAACTATATTTAGATCTATCACAGCTGAGTAAAACATCACAGTATATTGTAATATTGGTAGGAACGGAATCACGTGATAGTTGTTCAAATTGTTTCTCTCTAGCAACGAGTCTTTGACGACCTTGGCAAAGGAGTGCTTGACAATGCCTGGAAGGGCTACAACTGTTCTCTGTTTGCGTACGGACAGACCGGAAGTGGAAAGACATACTCTATGGTCGGTTACCAAGCCAATAAAGGGATCGTTCCCATGGTCTGTACCGAGCTCTTCAAGGCTATCGACCAAAAACGATCCGATGTCAGTGACACTAAAGACAAGGGAGTGTATGAGGTAAAATATATATTTTGTGTGATAGCTAATTGTACGTATAGAACAGTATCCCCGACAAGGTGTTTTAGAACGCGACAATAGTCAAAAGTTTGCGATTATCCAGTAAAGGTAATTTTGAATGACATCGTAAGGTATTATAATACACTTTTCTAATGTTTAGCAACTGACACTACAAATATGCATACAGCATTAATTTTATTTTTGTTACCAAATTTAATCATGGTTCCATTTTACTCGCTCATATACCCGACGGCCAAGTGAGAATATGCCGTGGTGCGACGCCCTTTCCTTTAAAGAATTTCTTCTCAATAACCAAGAGGACCCAGGGTCAAGACATTGAGTCAATATGCTTTCAAGCTTGTCCAAATGAGATACCTTGACCAACTTTTAAGGTCAAAGGTGTTACATTCTTCAGCGGGCTTCTTCTCAATACCAAGAGAAAAAGAACATTTATGTTATGTCGATAGTAAAATCGTGTCCAAATTCATGACCTTGAAAAGCTCTCATAGAATTAGGACTTTGTTATAAAATGTTGTGCTAATGAAAATATTTGTTTTTTCCTGTACTGAACAGGTGATGATCAGCATGTTAGAAATTTACAACGAACAGGTGCGTGATTTGCTGAACTCCAAAACAATTAAAAACAGGGGAAGCATGAACATCAAGAGTGATCCAAAACGAGGCTTCTACGGTAATAAAACTGAAAATATTCATATAGAATCGCTAAAATTATAGCCCCTATAGTGCCAGAAAGATTAAAGCGTTTTGATAGAGACTGAAGCAGGTATATTATTTGTTCTGTCCGTTCTAACATATATTTAATATAATTGTTTTCAGAAAGGTTATATTTTGATTTGAATATAGATGGTTAAATGGCAACATTTTCGACCTTGTGCCAAAGGAAAATGACATTCGAACGAAAATTTCTCATCAAATCTTCGTTATCGTTTACAAAATGTCATGTATTTTTCAAAGATGCTCAACATTCAATACAAGTTTCGAATTATATTTTCATGCAGTTGAAGGACTTATGAAATCGCTTGTGAACAGTTACCCGGAAATTGAAAATAAAATCAATGAAGGCACGAAAAACAGAACAGTAGCGTCCACCAACATGAACGCCACGAGCAGGTCTGTACAAGCTTTACATTCAGATGCGTGACGTCATTTTATATCGAACTGTAGTAACGTTATAAAAATCGGCGCAAAAACTAAAATATATATTATTCTATTCACTGTGTATAACAAACAAATGCAAAGTGTATCTTGCATAAAGTCAACTCTGAATGAAAAAGTTACCATATTGTTTCTGGATAAATATACGTTCGCAGAAATGGAGAAATAGGGTGGTACAGTTTTATCTGTTTTTGTGTTGATCTAGATAGAAATTTTTTATCCTATAATCTCTAACCGAAAAGACAAGTAAAACAAGAATAAGTGGTAAAACTATAATAGGAATGATTAATGAAAATACCCTGCGCGTGACAGGGTTCGAACTAACAACCCTACGATCTCTAACTGGTCAGGCCATCGCTCAACTAACAGAAAATTCCCACTTGTGTAAGCTAGTAAGGCGACCTGTACTTCGTACTCTCAGCTTCTACAAAACTATTGAAGCATACAATTGCATCTCGTCCACCATCTAATAGGAATACGGATATTTTTGAAATGTGTGTAGGAAATATCCATTGTCTACATCAGTATAATGTGTAAGAGTTTTGAAATCGCAATGTTTTGTTACAGCCGCGCTCACACCATCGTGGCCATCCACTTCAAACAGGAATCAAAGGATAGCACTGGTCAGAATATGACAAAGACATCAGTTATCAACCTCGTGGACTTGGCTGGCAGGTAAGACAAGACCCCAAATTGTAGACCAGAACCCTCATTTATCTGGTCGACAGAATAAGCAAGATTTTTTATGTACCTTTTTTAACTAAAGGCATTCAATGTTAATGCCCTTGCTATTTATAGACTTCTGTGTTTAGTCTGACTCTTCACTCGTTATGATAAACAGAAATCTTCCCTTCGCCAAGTCGGTATGGAGTCACAGGTATTCTACCTGAGTAACACACATGTACATGTTAAAGGTGTTCTCTGAACGATATTCTGGTTTATGTTTTCACGTTAAATGTCTTTTTAGATAAGCTGTAATGAATGTGTGGTGAAAAATGAGCACAATGGGATACGATTATCGTGCAGTCGACAAACATATTAGGATGTTGTAATCAGAATGTATTTTGTCAATATCGTTACCCATTCTCGAGTTAAATTAACTTAATAAAATTACATAAAATTTACATTTGATAAATATTACTTTTCGTCTCTGTTTTATCAGATGTTATTGTTCTATTCTCCTATTTTTACTCAATAGAAGACTTGTCGAAGGGCTGAAATAAAACAGACTGATAACAGGTGCTACCTGAAGAAATGTAGTCAGTGTTGATATAACGTAATGAGAATAACACGATGCTGGGATGATACCACAACTACAAATGTTATTGAGGTCAAGAAAGAATTATAGTGATTTCAGTACCGTAAAATTATTTTGTTAAGCAAACTACATTAAATTAATTATTTGAAACCCGTAACAATGTCTGTGTGTTCGAAGTGCGACTTTACCTTGTCCTGCTTACATTATAAAACATATTAATTTGCTCAGCTTAACTTGCATGTAGTTTATACAGATTAAGCATGGTTTCATTTTATCAGCGAGAGAGTTGCGAGTACTGGAGCACAAGGAGACAGGCTTAAAGAAGGCAGTAGCATTAACCAGTCTCTAAGTTCACTTGGAAATGTCATCAATGCTCTAGCTAAGAGCAAGCCTTTCAGTAAGTTACAACCTTATATGTTTTGTAAACAAAACTCAATTTTAGGTAGATGAGATTTAAAATGAGCACATTTATGCAAATTATCATATTTTGAATTAGTTTAGTTTGCTTAAGTAGTTATTTTCAATATATATCGATTAATGAATTTATACTTAAATACTTTCGAGCATTTCAACTTCATAAATCTGCTCTGAAGTTTGACGTAAAATCCTTTGCAGTTCCGTATAGAGATTCAGCATTGACGAAATTGTTAAAGAATGCTCTTGGTGGCAACAGTAAGACTATCATGGTAAGTCATAACATTTATATTACCCCTAGTTATATCACATAATTGATACTTTCTTTTACCAAATATTAAACATTTAATGTCGTTTTCATATTAGACTATTGCCAAGTAGATGTTTTTAATAAGCGATATGTTGTATTCTGAATTGATAACAAGCAGCTAGGTCTGATTGTTTTGGCACAATTGCATTACTTTATGAAGATTGTAAATAAATACTAACAAAATATAACGGAGTAATCCTTCACGTTGATATTTTTCTTGAAGTTGAACATTCCTCTTCAATACCTTTTGAGAGTTTGCATGTTTGATTTAGATTAATGACTGCAATTTTTAATGTATAGTTAAAACATTCATTGTATATGTCCTTTGTTCACATTGCAAAATTCAAAACTAGATAACAATATTATTAGGATCAAACGCGACCTTCTCTATTGTATCTAGATACTTACAAATATCTACTACGTTTCACTAGATTGCTGCACTAAGTCCTGCTGATATCAATTACAAAGAAACTTTATCCACTCTCAGGTTTGGTAAGAAACATTTCTTGATATTGACAAAATTGTCGGTTCTGTCTTATCGATTTTTTATATTACAATTTTTCCTTTTTTGATAGTCTGTTGTAAAACATGATTTGTAGTTATGATAGAAGAATTGGGTTGTTATTCGTTAACTGTCGTTATTATTATGTAGCGTTAAAATACACCATTCTGTAATCAGAATGCTAAACGATATAACTAAAAAGTCAAACGTTTCATTTCAATCCACATCGTTACATATTTTATTTACAAATCAATATGATAGTCGGCGGAGAACTGCAAACTGTTCGTTAAAACCATGATTTGATGTTTTCTTGTTTATAAAGCTGATAGAGCAAAAGCGATCAAGACTACAGCGACTGTCAACGAAAATCCCACAGACAAACTTATTCGAGAACTACGAGAGGAAAACGCGCGGTTACAGAAGCTGTTACAGGAAGGCGGAATCAGTGCAATACAGGGAGAAAGTTCAGGAGGTACATTTTTTCTGTATATAGACAGAGTACAAAAAAAGACTGGAAAGTTGAATAGGTCTGTTTTATTCTGCTTTAATCGTAAAATAAGTTGACAGTATCCTTGTTTTTCTATATATGTAGATATTATCAGATTTCCAATACGATGTGTTCATTTTTATTACGACGTGTTCATATTCAATTAGTATCTGTGTAACGAAGTCATTTCATCGCTAATGCAGGTTTCAGTATATTATGTGTAAATATCAAAGTACGTATTGAATTGTAGTCACAAGTGAGGAAAAACGATTATTAGAGGAACAACTTCAACAAAACCAAAGGGAAATGGAAGAGATGAAAACCACTTGGGAACAAAAGCTAGAGATAGCCCAGAAGGAAAACCAGGTATGTCAACACTCCATCCAACTCTATAAGTTATATAGAAGTATTGGTGAATTATTCATCACTATCTACATAAACTCCATGTTCGGAGAGCAGGAGTAATTATATGGAGGTAAATGTTTCTGTGGCGTTTCACAATTACTGTGAATAAAATATCAAGTGGTTAGGGAAAATGCATATGCATGCACTTCAATTTCATAATAAATAATAAATTTCAAAACATGTTAAATTATGATTAACTGAACATTGTATGTTTTCTATGATATCAAATTATTGAAAATGCAAATTATTCCGAATTATGAATTAACACGTTATCTCTTTTCAGAATATTGAAATAACAATTATATATATAAATAATAATTATATATGTTTAGTATGATAATTAGTATGATATTGTGGCTTCCACTCTTTTGATTTATAGGCGAAAATTGAAGATGAAAGAAGGTTGGCGGAGCATAAGAAAGTTACACCGCACTTCTGGAATCTTAATGAGGATCCTGCACTTTCCGGAATGGTCGTCCACTTTTGCGATAAAGGTGATTAATATTTTATTTGATTCTCGTAGACGTAAAACTACGTAATGATATAATGAACATGTAGTGAAATAATTGAATATATAGCATTTCTCTCTAGCTTTCGTCGCACACATGAATGTTCAGGTATTTACAGTAACTATATATAATTGGCTAATAGTGTGATATACATTAGATTTGAAATCCATTTTCAAACATTGAAAAGAGTTTTTTTTTAATTCTAAAGGTATGTAAAGCCTTTTGTCAGCATAGTATGACTTAAATTGACGTTTCGTATATCTTCTTCAGACAAAGCTCTAATAGGTAGAAAGGCATCAGAATCAGGTGCAGATATACCACTTGCAGGCTTGGGGTGAGTGTTTAAGATGTTAAGAAAACATAATCTTTCCTTTCCACTTTTGTCCTCAGCTGTACACAAACAGCAGCCTACAATAGTACGTAATGACAGTGTGTTCCTTATATATCGAATTGGTACTGTTTCCATCAATCTGAAATATCTTAGTATAGTATAATTTATTCTACCATCATAATGCAATGATGACAAGTGACTAAGACGTCCATGAGACGTTACAACATAGAAGATTCGTCCATATTCATCATCACAAATTACACTCGTCCAATTATAGGATTGTTGGATTCAGACCCCAATTTCAAGAATGTTCTTTAAATTATGGCAATTGTAACCGCTCTCACACAAAGCATAGCATATTCAGCAAAAGTTAAGACCAATTACTGAGTCTAATATTGCATCCCTTTGAGCAGACTTCAATTTTAAAAGTTTACCAAGTTATATCAAGATCTTAAAAGAAAGAAAAATACATTGCAAAGTTAGATCAAGATCTTTATAAAAACAATTACATATTCTAATTTAAATCTTCAGCATCCAACCCAACCATGCGGAGATCCTGAACAAAGATGGGTCAGTGCTAATTATACCAGTTGATACCGCCAAAGTGACCGTCAATGGTCAGAAGATATTAGCCGAGACTAGACTACATCATCACGACAGGTATGCTATATTCACGGTACACAGCATAACTAACATAATTTTAATATCTATACATGACTAATATTATGCTCCGGGTTGTGAGTTTATGATCAGTCATTCCTGACAACTAATTAAAACATATTTGAACAAAACCACCGAAAAATGTAATTGTCTTCCATCTATTGTATTTTCAAGCTTTCAAACAACATTGTTAGGCAAAACATTTAGACCTGTATGTAAATATGGCATGCATTTTATTCCTCATAATTTAACCATGTATTAGTTGTGCTGAAAGATTAACTATTAATGGTGTTGTGTGGAAATTTTATTTCCTCAGATATGTTCTTAATTAATGATATTCAAATAGTTAAATGACGGTACAAGAAAACGGTATGCACAGAAAAAAAAATCAATACACTTGTGACAGAACACTTAATTACTAATAATTATAAAAGAAATTCAGATCTCACACCAACGAAAATTTGCAGAAGCGCGTGTTACAATAATTGCACCTATATGCACTGCACCAAGGCTGAATTATAATATCGGAAAGGTTTCGGTTCCAAGATTAATACATTATTTAATGCACATTCGATTGTTTGATTTCGTATGCGTTCCATGACACTTGACCTGTGCTTGTATGTAACTTTCTTTCTGGGATGCTACCGATTGCCATTCAGTCTCATTACAATACCGGTTATTTTTGAAAGCATCTCATTTTTATTGATTCTTTATCATCAATGGTGTAGGGTACTGTTCGGAGCGAATGCTCTATACATTTTCCATCATCCTTCTGAAGCTGCAAAACTTGCTGAAAGTGGGGGTAAAATCAACACTCCAACCTTCGATCAGGCGCAACAGGAGCTGGCTATGATGGCCGGCCTGGTTTCAAAAGATGGCACGTCTAAAGGTTAGTTGCAGGAAAACGATGATACTTGGTCGGATAAAGAAAATTCAGAAATATGTCGAGGACCTCATTCTTTACCTTATCGTTAATAAGAAATAGTTCTCTGGTTTTCATAACATGGTTTCAATAGACAAAGAAAAAAATACTGAAGTGTCAAAAAACATAATTTGATCATTAATATAAAGAGTAATTAACAAAGTGAAATGAAAAATTGTGTTCACAAGCAAAACTACATCCTTCAAGTGTAACACGGTACCGTTTGCACATGCCTTAGTTGTTAATTGTCTTTAATAACATATTTAACTTGTTTCAATTAATTGCGTCGTTGCAGAGGACCTGATTTTACAAGAAGAAGTCACACAGGTACTCCGGATCGTGAATGAAGCCAACGCCATGTCTGAGGAAATGGACAAGAAAGTAAAGTTTGAGGTCGCTTTACTAGCTCCCTCATTTCGAAGTCTATACAGAGGCCCTACAGAGGTACCATCTTAAAATAATAAAACATTTTTTTTAAAAAAAAACGAGCAAATTGAATGTGGTCCATGATGCAGCTATTATTTTAAGAATTTCCTCGTTAAAATGACTTTAAATTTACCCTACCTATATAACGTCATATTTAATGATAACCAATACATAGCCATCAAGGCAGCCGGTCAGCGTAAGACGTTTGACGTCATTTTTATGAGAGTCCACACACATGCAGTGGACAGCAGTATAATACCTGTGTGGTTTATTCAGTTTAACCTCTTTAATGTACGTTCATAAATAATTTTGCACTGAAAATAATAAGGAAGCATGTTTGAAATGCTTCAAAACGAGAAACGTAGTGATCACCTCCATAGCAATAAGAGACAGTTCAGCTGTCACATTAACGATCTTCTATCGCAGCCAGTATATAACGCTTTCTACAACACATAGCATGAAATAGATATATATATAATAGAATTGGAAATACTTCTCATTAGTAAGCACTTCCATTTAAAATCTTCAGATGCTAACATAGTTTTACTGCCTCAGTAGGCCTACGTACATGACTGCCTAATTGGCAACACAATATTACGTCATCAATAATGGCTTGACTGTCTATTACGAAGTTATAGAAATGGGAGATAATTATGTCTTTTCGATTATACTGTATTTATTCTGATATCATTTTTATAAATTGTCAGTATTTCTTGAGGTAAGAATCTGTGTGTCTATCCTACTTTTAACCATAATAATGATTTAATTGGATGTTAACTGTTTCAGGCGGATATCACTGAAGTGAGAACTAATGAGCGAACGTATCATAAACTTTTAAATTCACTTCTCTTATTCCCATTCACGTGTATGATAATAAGCACAACCCTTTCCAGTGACTGCAATGTTTGGAAAATCATTATTAAATTAATATCTTAGATCACCTGTTTTTTCTTAATGTTTAGCACTCATGTTTGTGTAATATATCATATTTGTGAATACAACTATATTAACGAGAAATGCTTTGATACAAGCAAATGACATCAAGCGTGTGTTAAGTGTGACGTCATTGTTGCATTCACTACGCGCTCAGCACTCGGAGAGAAAATACTGTTCCATCGTGACTTCTGTTAAATAAAACTCTACAAAGGGCAAATGAAAAGCACCATTTAATACAAATTTAGAATTCGATACAATGGAGCCAAATACTGAATAAACCATACATCATACATCCTATTCGGACCCGTCAATGATCCTACAGGCCTACATGTCGAATCATACGAGACACTTCTAGAATGAGAGGTGTACTAGTTCCATAATTTGATTCTATACATTTCATAGTTTTTATGTCTAATGATATCAGAAAAACGTCAGGTACGAGTGTTTATCATGAACTATGTCAACATGAATTAAAATTTATGGTGTGTGGCTGGAAAACTTTTTGATCGACAATCGATATCAGAAGATATCAAATAATTAGAAGTAAGTAACGTTCACGTTCACGTTTCCCTTGTAAGCTTTGGGCAAGACCAATTGAAATATATTGATTGACACTGGCTTATAAATAAGAATGAATTCACTGTAGTGTTCTATATTATAATTATTAGTGTGAGCAAGTTGAATGAGTCCGAGTGATCTCCCCTTGTATAAAAGCACGGGATTAACCTGAAATACACTGGTTCCTGAAACGCCATTGTTGTTGTGATTTGATTCGCTGGTCATAGTTTAATCTGTAATGATTCAATTCGGAACCCATAACGACACTACATTCATAATCATACATAACTGATGAGGAAACAAATCAAAACTAAGTTGAAATGTAATTTTCATTTATAAAGCGAAATTATTGTACGAGTCATTTAGATTACAGTGTATATAAGTATATTAAGCAATCGTGCATTCATAAAAAATGTTTGTCCTTGTGGGTAAATCATATCTAACTGAACAATTGGAAATAAATAGGATAACATAATATAATGTAGTCAAACCCATGTTTCTTTATAAGTGTGAGTCAGTACAGAATAAAATGCAATGTGTAACTTTATTTCAAGGAATAGATAGTTAGATCACATATAAATTCATATCATACCCATATTAGGTGCGGATGAAAGTGAAGGATCTCGTCTCTGGTAACCACTGGATGTGGACTAAAGACAAGGCTATACATCGGCACGCACTCATGCAGCAGTTGTACCAGGACTTTATCTCCAAGGACGACAACTGGAAAGTTTCAAAGGTTAAAGCTCGTCTATATATAATAAAATTATATACAAGTCATCTCGAAAGTTTATTTGTGCAACATGTTTGTAACAAAACCCAAAAGAATACAAGTAAGCTGAACGAACGTACAAAGTCAAACAGACGATAAAAAAAGTCTTTACAAATAAGAAAAAAAAAGATCGACTATTTTTTTAGTTGTTGCTTTCATTATCTTTTATAAGTTTAATGTTATATATGGGAAATACACACTAATATGATAACTAAAGAAAACTCCAGTTAGTAGTATTCACTCGAATCTCTTCAGGAAGATGACCCCTTCTGGGAGCCGGCTGATACAGAAATCATGATCGGAGTAGCACATCTAAACCTACTGTCACTTGCATATAAATGCAGTATAGAGGAAAACGCCGATATTCACGATCACAAGACAACAATCAAAGGTATTGGCTGGGCTACAATATGATTTAAGATTGTCTCTGCGGTGGTGTAAAACCGTTTCAAGTTTACGTTTCAAGTCAAAAGAAGTTTTCATTTTAATTGAATACGAGATAAATGCTGGTATCTAGAGTTTTATACACGATTACCTTACATATTGAACTTCATAAACTCTTCTGATAACTTTATCAACCTTAATTTAATATTTTAAGTTGATATGACATGGATATGATCACACTATAATGTAATGATCTTTGTGCGTATATTGTTCATATGAATAACTCAAAACTGACAATAAAATACACTTTATGGACGAAGTAATGAACTACATTAACATATCTGAATACCTATTTCAGGTCATTTAAAATTGGAGGTGATTCCATGTGATAAAAACAAGCAACCCTTGGAGGATATTGAACTTCTGGAAGATACAACAGAATTAGTAGGTTGTTTTTATTTTCGTAAGATCACTAGTCTATATATCAGATTTGCTATAAATAACAATAAGTATTACAACACTACAACTTTATGTATTAAAGTTTGATAACAACACAACATGCACACTTACTACTTAACACGTAAGTCTAGCTTTTATCTTACAATAAAATGACTCAAATCGACGCAACCCAGCAGCATACTGTGATGTAGCAAATCATTCGCTTGACTTTCATCTAGACGACGTTGATTTGTTTCCCGCGTATGGATGTGAATAGCGATGGGGTCACCTGCCTGATCGACCCACGCAGATGTTCTGTCGTTACTCGGGGCTCTCCTGCACAAACGTGATGACTATAAATTGCTATTTTTTTCAGATTGGCAAAGATTTGACTTTCTTGTTGAAAATTAACGGAGCAAGAGGACTACCTACAAATATTACAAAAGTAAGATTGCAATAAATAACTACTATAAGTTATTTACAAGTTTTAAAATCTGAAACATGTTTGCATTTCTCATGCAAATTGCCTGTAAACAATTACCGATATCATGTATATATGTAATGGTGTAATTATTCAAGGTGTTTTGGTCGATTTTGTTTTGGAAGTTAATCAAATGTATATAACAATATCTGTTGTTATAATGTAAAATGTAGCATGTAATATGTTCTGTTATTTTCCAGTCATTTTGCAAATTCAAGTTTTACCTGGATCACGACTATGTTCAAACGAAGGAGGTAGCAGGGATGACTCCAGATTTCGACTTTGAACAATTTTATGTACAAAACCCTGTTACAAAACAGGTAAGAAGGACAATTCTCCTTTCTTTCTTAATATTGAGAATTCTGTTAGAAAAGGAAAGACAATTTAGAGCGTGTTGTATTCTAAACAACTGGCAATATACAAACATACGTCCTGTAACCTGACGGTGACTAGCAGAGTTTTTACAAACATTGGGTAAGGAGAATATAGATATTTTATCAATTTTTACTCATTTTGTAAATAAGATGTAGATGTATTGATGTGTTGAATAATGTTTTTGTCTATCGTCTTCTATGGTTAGTTTTATTGTTCATCATTTAATGTTAAATATTTATGTTGTATATTTCCATTTCAGTATTTTTCATGATCATTGCTTAACTTTCAGTGAGCGAGGATTCTTCCTCGTATACTTTGATTAACTGTACAATTTGGTTTTCAAATACAGTTTGTAAAATGATTCGAACAATGTCTTGTTTGTATTGCTAACGACGGGAATGAAAGTATTTCAGAATTAATAGGTCTTTGTCAATTACCATTGGCTATACATTCAATGTGTAAATGCTATTTACAATAGGTATATATCATATATATTTTGTATCAAAAATTAGTTTGTATGTCGGTCAATTTCATGTTCGCTTTATAAATTAAGTAGTCTCCACTTTACTTAACATAAATAAAAAATAACGATGACTTTAACGACGACAAAACTGATACGAATGTCGTTATAACTTGATAGTGTTTATCAATTAGCAGTGCTAATCATGAATATTTCTAAAAGTATAGGAGGACATTTGCTAAAGATAGTATTTTTGCCATCAGTTTTTAGTTGTTGTTGGTGACGTTTTATTCATTTTTTTTTCAATGTTACAGTTCCTGGATTATTTGAAAGATCGTCATCTAGTGATTGAAGTCTGGGGACGACAAAAGGATGAGCAATCGCCGTCAAAAGGAAACACAGGTCTTCTACCAACAAAGGACTTGATGATACGAGAAAAAACTTTCATAGGGGTAGGTGAAAACGAATAATTTCTTAATGGTTAAAAAACAAATGTTAAACATATCGCAAGCATTAAAGTATGTGCTAATTGTTAAAATTATATTTTACTGTAAAAAGTGTTTCATGTGCGCCTCCTCACCAACTGTGTTCGGTCCGAAACCTATATACACATGTTGTATGTTTATTTTTCAATCATCTAGTAAGTTTTCTTTATTTGATATGTCAGTAAATTAAGATGAAAATTGCGTTTGAATTACATTGTTTCATTACAGAAATCTGCGTTAGAAGACGGGGACACTGGGGAAAAGAAGAAAAAGAAAAAGAAGAAAAGAAAGAAGGAGCATGATGTTGATGCCGCTGATGGGACAAATGGTATAATAATTCCGGTGCCGCCACTTAGTGGACAAAAGAGTGATGTACGCGACAACATGTCAAATATGTCGAAAGAAGAAGAAAAGAAATTAAGAGACGATCTTTCTAGATTAGAAAGTGAAAAACAGAGATCTGAAACAAAATTGAAAGAGACGATAGATGCTCACAAAGCGGAAATGTCTCAAAAGGTGCAGGAAATAGAGAGTTTTAAATCTAGAGGGAGACAACTACACCAGGAAAACATGGATAACAAGAAAACACTGGTTTGTATTGAAGGCTCTCCTTACACACAAAGACATTGTGAAGTCATTGTTTGGTACATCATCATAGCTTAATACACTATTATATATGTATATAATCAATAAAGTACTAACGACAATACGGACAAATGATTTGTTAAATTTTCGAGGCAATATGCCCCTTTATCAAGACGCAAATATTACATAAATTACATTACATAAATAGTACATAAAACAAACACAAAGTCAAAAATCTAAATCGGAAATGTAAATGTAGGTGACTCGATAATCCTCTGGGTCGATGGACGCCGAAGGCCTTTTATATAACAGTGTTATAGATTAGATCACATAACGGTAATTCTTTAATTGATAAATAATGTAGATAGAATGTAAATAAAGGTCAAATCTATCGTAAATAAGAAAATTATGAACTTCATCAACTCAACAACACACGACATTAATAAAGATATTTGTGACGATATATATTCCTAAACTCAAGGTACTGTGAGTAACTATGCCCTAAATCAAAGGTACTGTGAGTAACTATGCCCTTAACTCAAGGTACTGTGAGTAACTATGCCCTTAACTCAAGGTACTGTGAGTAACTATGCCCTTAACTCAAGGTACTGTGAGTAACTATGCCCTATACTCAAGGTACTGTGAGTAACTTTGCCCTTAACTCAAGGTACTGTGAGTAACTATGCCCTTAACTCAAGGTACTGTGAGTAACTATGCCCTATACTCAAGGTACTGTGAGTAACTTTGCCCTTAACTCAAGGTACTGTGAGTAACTATGCCCTAAACTCAAGGTACTGTGAGTAACTATGCAATAAACTCAAGGTACTGTGAGTAACTAGTGAGTAACTATGCCCTAAACTCAAGGTACTGTGAGTAACTATGCCCTAAACTCAAGGTACTGTGAGTAACTATGCCCTAAACTCAAGGTACTGTGAGTAACTATGCTATGTGAATGATAGTATATTGTATCTTCATATTTTCCTTTTTCTTTAATCAGCAACCCAACAACTTATTATACAATATTCATTATGTTGTTTTCTTCAACGTATGAAGAGTTCATATTTTTATTTCACTAGGAAGCTGTCAAGGAGCTGCTAGCAAGGACGAGAGGAAACGGAAAATCTACCATAAATGTACGTATGTTATGTAACCTCCTGAATACGTTTCAGGATTAAACGATAATGTTGCTGGTCTTCTAGTGGGGGTTTGTTCTGGTGATAATTGATCGTTTGGCTCTGATCTAATTAATTCTTAATGTGGGTCCTTTGTACAATCAGCAGGCATTCAGCATCCAAAAAATGTAAACACATATATTTTGATTATCTTTATAGCAACGCTGTTCAATCTTTTTGATAAAGATACAGTAGGACAAAATATTGACGTAAAATTCATTATACAGTCATCTCCTCCTTCTAGGACTCGTCAGTGATGTGTCCAAATTTTACAACCTATTAGACGACTGAAGAAAAAGAAAATAGATTGAAAGAAATATGAAAGTTTTGATGGGAAGGTACATTAGTCCAGGATATCCCACATATCTGATCATTCTAGGGTATCCCACATATCTGATCATTATAGGATATCCCACATATCTGATCATTATAGGATATCCCACATATCTGATCATTCTAGGGTATAACACATATCTGATCATTCTAGGATATATCCCACATATCTGATCATTCTAAGGTATCCCACATATCTGATCATTCCAGGGTATAACACATATCTGATCATTCTAGGATATCCCACATATCTGATCATTCTAGGGTATCCCACATATCTTATCATTCTAGGATATATCCCATATATCTGATCATTCTAGGATATATCCCACATATCTGATCATTCTAGGATATCCCACATATCTGATCATTCTAGGATATATCCCATATATCTGATCATTCTAGGATATATCCCACATATCTGATCATTCTAGGATATCCCATATATCTGATCATTCTAGGATATCCCACATATCTGATCATTCTAGGATATCCCACATATCTGATCATTCTAAGATATCCCACATATCTGATCATTCTAGGATATCCCTAGGGTATCCCACATATCTGATCATTCTAGGGTATCCCACATATCTGATCATTCCAGGGTATAACACATCTGATCATTCTAGGGTATCCCACATATCTGATCATTCTAGGGTATCCCACATATCTGATCATTCTAAGGTATAACACATATCTGATCATTCTAGGGTATAACACATATCTGATCATTCTAGGATATCCCACATATCTGATCATTCCAGGATATCCCACATATATGATCATTCTAGGATATCCCACATATCTGATCATTCTAGGACATCCCATATATCTGATCATTCTAGGATATATCCCACATATCTGATCATTCTAGGATATCCCATATATCTGATCATTCTAGGATATATCCCATATATCTGATCATTTTAGGATATATCCCATATATCTGATCATTCTAGGATATCCCACATATCTGATCATTCTAGGGTATCCCACATATCTGATCATTCTAGGGTATCCCACATATCTGATCATTCTAGGGTATCCCACATATCTGATCATTCTAGGGTATAACACATATCTGATCATTCTAGGATATCCCACATATCTGATCATTCTAGGGTATCCCACATATCTGATCATTCTAAGGTATAACACATATCTGATCATTCTAGGATATCCCATATATCTGATCAGTCTAGGGTATAACACATATCTGATCATTCTAGGGTATAACACATATCAGATCATTCTAGGATATATCCCACATATCTGATCATTCTAGGGTATAACACATATCTGATCATTCTAGGATATATCCCACATATCTGATCATTCTAGGATATCCCACATATCTGATCATTCCAGGATATCCCATATATCTGATCATTCCAGGATATCCCACATATCTGATAATTCCAGGATATATCCCACATATCTGATCATTCCAGGATATCCCATATATCTGATCATTCCAGGATATCCCACATATCTGATAATTCCACATATCTGATCATTCTAAGGTATAACACATATCTGATCATTCTAGGGTATAACACATATCTGATCATTCTAGGGTATAACACATATCTGATCATTCTAGAGTATAACACATATCTGATCATTCTAGGATATATCCCACATATCTGATCATTCTAGGGTATAACACATATCTGATCATTCTAGGATATATCCCACATATCTGATCATTCTAGGGTATAACACATATCTGATCATTCTAGGATATATCCCACATATCTGATCATTCTAGGGTATAACACATATCTGATCATTCTAGGATATATCCCACATATCTGATCATTCTAGGATATCCCATATATCTGATCATTCCATGATATCCCACATATCTGATAATTCCAGGATATATCCCACATATCTGATCATCCCAGGATATCCCATATATCTGATCATTCCATGATATCCCACATATCTGATAATTCCAGGATATATCCCACATATCTGATCATTCCAGGATATCCCATATATCTGATCATTCCAGGATATCCCATATATCTGATAATTCCAGGATATATCCCACATATCTGATCATTCCAGGATATCCCACATATCTGATCATTCCAGGATATCCCACATATCTGATCATTCCAGGATATCCCACATATCTGATCATTCCAGGATACCCCATATATCTGATCATTCCAGGATATACCGCATATCTGATCATTCCAGGATATACCACATATCTGATCATTCCAGGATATCCCACATATCTGATCATTCCAGGATATACCACATATCTGATCATTCCAGGGTATAACACATATCTGATCATTCTAGGGTATCCCACATGTCTGATCATTCTGGGATATACCAAATGTAAATCTTTGAATTAAGCCAGTAATAAAATATAAATACGTCAGAGAAACAGTCAGCCCCCAGAAAAAAACTTTTTATTGTTTAAATATCGGAATACACATTTTTGATATATACTAATGGTTGTAATGTCATTGTTTAATGTGTTTTATCCAACAGGTGTCCGATTTAGAGAGGACGTTGGATCCATCGGCGCCACAAACGGTGGAACATGGCAACACATCCAAAGCTTGTATCTTACAATAGTTTTCAGAGTTTCACTAGATCACTATACAAGCTGAAACTCTGAGCTTATCTGTGATATCAACCTAGCTCTTGTATTAATGGGACAAGATACTCACATATCATATAACCTGTGATACCAACCAAACCAAGGTTTGTTTATAAATCATGTGTGACCAAAGAGTAGTTCAACTGGTTATTGGCATTCACATACAGATTAATGTGTGGCAGATCTCGGAAGGTAACGTCTTGACAGGAACCGTCTCGATAGGCATTGTCTTGGTAGATACTGTTTCAGTACGTACCGTCTCGATAGGCATTGTCTTGGTAGATACTGTTTCAGTATGTACCGTCTCGATAGGCATTGTCTTGGTAGATACTGTTTCAGTACGTACCGTCTCGATAGACATTGTCTTGGTAGATACTGTTTCAGTACGTACCGTCTCGATAGGCATTGTCTTGGTAGATACTGTTTCAGTACGTACCGTCTCGATAGACATTGTCTTGGTAGATACTGTTTCAGTACGTACCGTCTCGATAGGCATTGTCTTGGTAGATACTGTTTCAGTACGTACCGTCTCGATAGGCATTGTCTTGGTAGATAATGTTTCAGTACGTACCGTCTCGATAGGCATTGTCTTGGTAGATACTGTTTCAGTACGTACCGTCTCGATAGGCATTGTCTTGGTAGATATTGTTTCAGTATGTACCGTCTCGATAGACATTATCTTGGTAGATACTGTTTCATTAGGTACAGTCTATAATAATAATGATTACAATATTAAGAAATGATGATAATAATAAAAGACTGAATTTAAGATTGATGACATTTTGTGTTTATAACGCTCTTCTTACAAGTGGTCAACATCAGAAATGTCGATATTTATAATCAGTAAAATTAAAACATCACAGATAAATATAAATATCACTGTAAAATACATTTAAAAAGACGCTTAAATGAAATAGATTATAATAATAGATACACGATGAATGTGTATAAAGCATTTGAAACACACATAAAAAAATAATAAGATACAGTTGCGATCATAAGATCTTCTAAAACTTCCAGACAGTGGAATTTTATGTTTGAAAGTTTGACATATAATTATATGCATTCAATTTTAAAACTTTTCAGGTTTTGACACTGCCTAACATTGTCTGGTAAACGATTCCAAAGTGTTGGTCCATTACACTTTTCTGTTTTATATTTAGGGGTGACACATTTCTGTCCAGTAGATGACCTGGTCTGTCTTTAGCGAACACTAGATACTAATACATTACAGTCCAGATAATTTGGACATAGTTTGTTAATAACTTTGTACATCATATGTACTGTTATATTTAACTATATTACTAAATGGTAACTATTTGAATTTAGTGAAAAACTCTTCGCCTGATATAGAATAATCTGCATCTAGTATTATGCGTCAAATTCTCTTTCACAACCTTTCTAACTTTTTAATTTATATTAGTGAACAGTTTCCCTAAATATTTGAACAACAATTAAAGTAAGGTAAAATAAACCGTTTAAAGTATGTTATTCTTGATAAAATAGGCCAGAATCATGGACATGTTTGTTCAATGTAAGGGTATCATTTCGGTAGGTTCCATTTCAGTAGGTACCAGTTCATAGGTACCGTCTTGGTATGTACCGTCTCGATAGGTACCTCTTGGTAGGTACCATCTCAATAGGTGCCGTCTCGATAGGTACCTCTTGGTATGTACCGTCTCAATAGGTACAGTCTCAATAGGTACCGTCTCGATAGGTACCTCTTGGTATGTACCGTCTCGATATGTACCTCTTGGAAGGTACTGGTACCGTCTCGATAGGTACCTCTTGGAAGGTACTGGTACCGTCTCGATAGGTACCTCTTGGAAGGTATTGGTACCGTCTCAGTAGGTACCGTCATTATGATTTTTATAATTGTTCAGATTGTTTGTTCCTAGATTTATATAATATTAGTGCTGCTAATCTTACTGCGTTTATGTTGGATTGCGTTCAGACTGTGTCCTTATGTCGATGTCATGTATTTGTTTTCTGTTTTACACGTCAAATCATTAATAAATTACTTTTTAACAATAAGAATATGTGTCCTAATTGTTTGTTATTTCGTACAAAATTTATAAAAACATACTAAGTATACTAAAATAAGAACTAAGGAGCTCACACAGAAATTCCCGACCCACAACCTTACATTTGTAAAGTGCTCAGTGGTGATCATTTACTTTACGGCAAACTTTCTCTAGAGACGTCATTTTAAGAATCATTAGATTGAGACATGACAACACTATAGGCTGAGGAAACAGAAATGTTAACATCTGGAAACGGAAAATTCAAAATGGATGAATGTAAACATCACACTGACTAAGCAGCTTAATAGAAAGCAGATCATCAGTGTTTCCTTGTAGGAAAACAATAAGGCCAGCGGCTGATGTAAGCTAATTTTATTTGTTAATGATCTCCACGTCTGATAGATAGATATATACGATGGTCATGCTCAATGTTTCTTGTTATCCAAAAGTGATATAGAAGTACTGGACAAGATTTTTGTGATCCATTTTAACAAATAATTCAGTCTTGTATGAAAACAAAATCAAGTCATCCAAGAGGGACTATTTTCTTGATTATGGTCACGACAGAGACATCAGATCCTAGCAGTTTAGCGTAGGTGCTCGTAATCTAATATCTGGAATATGGACGGACGGACGGACATGATAGTAATGCACATACTAGTGGAGAAAAGTTGTACCAAGTCATGTGATCTTGTCTATATAAAGAGCAATCGTTGCTAGTCCATGTGTGAATTATCAATTAACAATGACCTGCGTTCAAAATGGCGCCAAGTCGACTCAGTTCCGGTATCACTATTTCATTCTTTTGCTATATTTGGTGTAAAATCTAATTATGTATGCTTGGGTTGACATCATTTTCTGTTCAACTAGATTCGTTATAAAGAGACAAACCACTAGTGTGGCGGAATGTGATGAAACGAGCATCCAGTTGGAACCAAGTCAAAATAACCTGTCATTTTAGTTAATTGAAAACTCGGATCCCATCTTCACATAGAATTTAAAAATAGATAAAATTAATATCAAAGTATTTATCCTCTTAACATCATGTCTTTTTCATGTGACTGACCAGACAGCGTAGTGGCGGCACCAAACACAACATATATATATGTATCTATATCATGAAGCAGTTATGAGGTATATGTAGGTATTGAGGACATACCGCGTCGCGTATTCTCGGATTTCTTGCTCCAGGAAGCCGTCCCTATTCAGAATAAACCATACTGATACACGCTGACTTCTTTATTTTTAACAGCTTTTTTTGCAAAATCCAAATGCACATGTTCTACATCAGGTCCTTTACAAGAACTACATTTTTCGTTTTTCAATAAAGAATACTAACCACAGAAGTATCAAATAGATGTAACATGGTTTAAACAAGAGCACCTGGAAAGTAATGCTAAAAAAGATTTGCGTCCTTGGACAGCCAAATGCTTACAACTGAATGTGTTATTGAATTTTAGTAAAATTACTAAATGTGAAAACTGATCAACACAAGAAATCATACAACCCTTGTAATACCATTTCTCATTACCATGTAATCTTCCATCTTTTTGGGAAACAATGATTTAGTTTTATATAGGTTTACAGTAACAGCATTCATTACAATAGACATTTAGATTATGAAGCAAGTCTTGAAGACATTCCACAGATTCAGAAAATAAAACAAGGTCAGCGACATACAACAGTAGATATCAGCTTAATTCTTCAAAGTCGTAACAAGATTTACATATTTGAATAAAAAAAATATTCAAAATCATGAATGTTTATAGAAAAGAATATCGGGGATAATATTTCCCTGTAAGAGTCCGACACTATTAACGAAGAAATCAGACAGGTTACCATTTAATTTTACATGTAGATACACAGACTTTACAAATTTAAGAGGTTTTTCTCTTATTCCAAGTTTTGAAAGTTTAAACCAGAGATTTACTCTATTAACTTTATCAAAAGCTTTGCGAAAATCGACAAGGCAGCAGTACAATCTTTTTGTATTATTCAAAGATTTAGATATTATAAAACAAAGACAAAATGAATGGACAGTACTAAGACCAGGATTAAACATAGGTACTAATCGCTATACACCCCAAGGGCAGTTAACTTTCTCACCCAGTGGCAGACCTTTCTTTATCACGCTCCCCATCCGTCCTATCAGAAATTAATTATCTTCAAGAAGTAGATGGTTTCTTTTGAATGGGTGAAGTGTAGACTAAAACAGATGCCAAACTGCTTCCAAACGTCACTATGTCCTTACAGATGTAAAGATAGATAGAGTACAGCCAAATAATGCTGCACCTAACAACAGCAGAGAGACAAAAGACATAACATCACGGTAGCACAGTGGTAAAATCCCGGCTCTCAGCTGCAAAGTTCTTGAATCGAATGAGTTTTTATTATCATTATTGAAGGGAGATCACGTGGTATTTTTCTATTTTGGAAACAATAAAATATGTAACAATTAAATCGTTGGTTGTTTGAGATGTGAAATGAAGTGTAAATATCAATTTAATAATTCTTACATCGTCTCCAATCACAAAAATGTCAGCGTATATTTCGGGCGTATGTATGAAACGAAATTGTAAGTATAGGAAAGTTGTGAGGTAAGGAATTATCCTTAAATTTACTTTCAGGTATATGACTGTAGAATGTTAATATATATAAATTATTTAAGTGTTAGTTAGCTATCTGATCAATTGTAACTGTTTGTTGGTAATATGCGGAAGAGGGCTTTACATAATTTAAATAACTTGTGCCCAATGGTTTTTTTTTCAATTAAATATGTTTAAAGGGCGATGACTGGCTTCTTTTGTTTCATTCGATTTAAAATAAATTAAATTTCGTTTCTTCACGTGCTCGAGGTTTTAAATCTACAGTCAGTAACAAATTTTCTTACAAAAGAAATCTAATGGTACTTGTCTTCGTTTAGTTTTTAAACATATTTCAGTACCGATGAGGGGCTTCACTCCTGTTTAAAAAGTCTGGATTTTTTCCTTGGTACATGTAGTTGATAGATATCATACGTATAAGTTTCCAGCTGATAACGCCTGAAGGAGAAATCCCATTAAAAGGCTAAGATAACTAGATTTTTCCCAGATACTACACTCACCTGACGTAGTAAATGATGTCGAGAACTAGAATAATGTCAAGCTTCATCAAAATGTCTATTGTGTTTTTATTTAAACAGGCCGATGTCGCTCCATTCATTACCAGCAATTTTGCCTGTTTAAGGGAGATAACTCGTACTACTTTAAATCCCTATCGGGTTCCAGCAATACACAATGTACACATAAATCATAGTAAATAATTTCGGTGTCGATTAGAGAGTGAAATAAATATAACGACACAGAGAAGAAAGTCAATGATCCTGAAACCGTAGTGTGTATTTCAGTCAATATGACTCCGTACATTCTCCAAGAATAAATCTATCAGTATTTCTTTTTTCGAAGTTTTGGTTTGATACCCAAGCCTGCTAATTTAGCCTTAATTTCTGAAACAGACATTTCATTTAATTCGTCAGAAGTACTTTTATTGCATTTCTCGGGGATGTTTGTTTTGCTTTGAATTTCTTCCAAAAAATATTTTTTTCTTCTCGTGTGAAAAAAATCTCTTTCCCAGTACTCGGCAAATTAGCGGATTTTAACCGTGTAGACATCCGTTCAGTATCAAATGTCATAATATGTTAATTATTTATTTCTCCGTGTTGAAGACAACTATTTTCCTTAACATACAGTTATAGGATCTTACATCGTGTAACGAAAGGAAAACAGGACGTAGTAAGATACCGCCCATAAATATCGCATAGATGTGCGATTCTGTCGTAGCTGATATAAATCTTAAAACTATGTGTATGTATTGGATAGAAGCATTGTCACAGTAGAGAAAAATGTCTTTTTAAAATTGCTGTGGTTAATCAATTTTTTTTCATTGTTCTTCTTTCCTTAGTGTAATGGGTTACTTTAAGATATAGTTAACTGTGTAGATGTTGTATTCCCTTTCGATCCGAAACCTTGATCAAGAGTTTGCAGCTGTTTATCTTCAGATTTTGATTGCTGCAGTAAAAATGAGTTGTTCTGTTCAAATGTATTTTCAAATTCTAGACCGGGAATGGTAAACTTGGTAGGTCTATGTGAGTAACACGTTTATAGACCTGGAAGCGTTTGTATGAACTGATCATACAACTTGTCATAAATAACATAAATTTTATATAATCTAATTCAATTTTGAGACACTATATATTTTATAACGGATTTATGTTTACCTGATTCGATGCTTTATGAATGACACTGTATACTGGGTGCAATTATTTTATTAGTCACAGATATACTATAATCGGTGTTAATTTACTGTCAAGAAATCAGCACACGTGTATTTGTGAATATCTGAAAAAATTTAATCTGATCATTTAAGGTTTGAAATGAAGTAGTTTTGGCTCACTGCTAGATCACAGTTTGTACTGTTAGTAATCATTATGGCGACCGGAAATTACCGGTGTTTGCCGATTTATATAAACCAATGAAAACAACTTCCGGTCTACCGAGGTTTGAGCGCCATTTTCGATTCCACTGATTTCAAAACATTAGAGATCAGCTCAAGATGCCTGCTCCAAAGAAAAAGAAGGGACAAAAAGCGGCTCAAACGGTGGATGAACCTATGGAAGTCGTGGAAAATGATGCTGATACCGATCCCACCGTTGAAGGCGATTTGATGTCCAGTGTTGCGTCTCGTCAGTTCAATCCCGAAGGTGAAATAACAAGTCATGTTTCAGCTGTGTTGTTGGAACAGAGCGTTCTGTATTTGAAATATAGTAATATGCTTCATATAAAGCAAAATCATATTCATATGTAAACCTACCGTTTTAAATTTCACATGTAGAACGCCCGATTCTTGTGACATGACATCATGAAACAAACTCGAAGTCATTTACTCTGGGGGAACATTGACAGCTGTGTAAGTCGTTATATATTTCATGAAGCAGAAATATTTCCGAATGGAAGCAGATGAAAGAGTCCGAGAATATCTCTGGTTAAATGTGATAATGTTAAAAAAAAGAACGTTGATTTACATTATTTCATTGTGCATCTTGTTTGATTTAACAGTGATTTATTATTTTTATCGGGATACTGTGCACCTACAACAAAGACGAAAATGTGTCAAATGTGTCAGCGGATAAATACACAGGACCTCTAGAAACATCAGTTGTACACATCTGGTTGGTTCCTTCAGTGATCGCCATTGTACTTCTGTTGATAGAACGTTTACCTAGTCTATGCAATATCAGATGAAAATCTGGAGTGTGTGGTTTGACATTCAATACTAGAATAGAGATTAAATTCCCCAGGAAGCTAAGAAGTGGTTCAGTTGTCATGAATGTGTCTTTTAGCAATACACTTATTCCCATCTTCTCTGGATGATGCTAGAATGGCCTCTTGTATGTTGTGTAGTGAGGTAGTCACCAGCTCTTCCAAGGAAACCCTGTCTCAAACCAACCCAGGTTGTTGATGGGGTATTATACCAGGGAAAAAATAAGCCAATGATGGTCTCTTTTATATTCAAATTAGGTAGACTTTGTATCTTCAGGCTTCTACACCAGATATTAGACATATTGACAAATGTCTGGTAACGATACTGTACAGCATGAAAATATGGAGTACTATTTATAATTTTATAATTTGGTGTTGTTATTTTTTTGGAGTCTTGCCAATTAAATCTATGTTGACACATTTATAACAACAATATTACATATATCATACGATGAAATATGAATTAAATGCTCATATTCACAATGAGTTTGTCTCAAATCAATCAATTTTATCAATACTTGCCATGGCTTTACACAATTAAGATTTCTCACATGAACAGACAAGATTTTGTAGAATATGCAAATCAGAATACATGTCAACTAATTATAGTACAGCTGTGTAGTGAGCCAAACAGACCCATTTTTATTTTCTTGTATTTATTATGTTTATTCAACAAAAATAAACATATTCTTTTCTGTTCTTTCTGTAGAAAATTGGTGAAAAATTGCTCTAACACACCTGACAATAACATCAACAAGATGTGGTTGTTTGGAAAACACTAATGACATAAGTGTATATTAACACTAACTTTTATCTTTACTCATTTATAGATTTTGGAGAAATAGAAATTCCTCCTGCTGCTGTTAGTGTTGCAACATATGAGATACATGGACCCCGTCTGATGATCACTCATATTGTCAATGAAAATTTCAAATCCTATGCTGGTACCCAAACTCTTGGACCATTCCACAAGGTATTCAACTAATAAAGTCACTATAGTCTTTACTTCCAGGGTTTTCCATAAGAGCCGGTCGCCGGCCAGTTTGACCGGCTACCTTGATCATTTGGCCGCCTACACCAATCCAGTTCCGTAATAATGTTCTGTACACGACTACACGTACACGGCAGGCCTGCCTCCTACTTTCACTACACCGCCTACTACTAACAAAATTATGGAAAACCCTGATTTCAAAGCTTGATTGTGTGATCAAGACATATTCCCAAATCATTTTCAACAATTTTTAGTCAATGTCTGAAGAAAGGAAGGCCTTCCTTTAATAAAAATTGTAAAAAATTGAATGGCCAATAGAAGATTATTTCTGCTCCTGTGAATAGAAAAATTCTTTTGTTTTTATTATGATGTAAAGAATTTTGACATTATTTTTATTAGTCAATCAACCTGTCAGCTAAAACGATCCAGCTAGAAAATCAACAAGCCTCAGGCTATCCTTACCATCTGGAAAAAAAATATCAATCTTTATCTTGACCCCAGATTTGTCACAAAAATCTTCATTCAAGATATTTATTCCCTGCATGCCTTGGTTTTTTTTCTGTTCCAGAGTTTCACTTCTATTATTGGACCAAATGGAAGTGGCAAGTCTAATGTGATAGACTCCATGTTATTTGTGTTTGGTTTCCGTGCCAACAAGATCCGTTCAAAAAAGATTAGCGTTCTTATCCACAACAGTGAGAACCACACAAACATTCAGGGATGTACAGTCAGTGTTCACTTCCAGAAAATCATTGACACAGGGGTATGTACATGAAATGTAATAGGTGTTTTTTGTATGCCTTTTACTTTATGCTAAAAATTTGTGAAATTTTCACATCTTTGTCAATCTCTGCTAAAATATCTGTCATTGTTTAAAAAGAAAATTTAGAATTTTGTGATCTGAGTTGAAGATAAAAACTTACAGCTCAATCAGGATACTATTAGCAGATCTTTTTCCTCTCAGATTTTGAATTCCGAAACTGGCTGACATTAACTGGTGATTTTGTTTAAATGGCTGTCAGTTTAGGATGTTTTTGAGTAAACTCTTAACAGAATTTTGTATTGAGAAAATCTTTTTATAAAAAGTGTAAAATATCGCACAGTTTAAATGATCTATTGTTTGACATTTTTTATAGCCTGGAGATGATGAGTACACGGTGGTCCCTGACTCCAAGTTTGTTGTAGCCAGAACAGCATTCAAGGATAATAGCTCCTACTACACTGTGGATGGCAAGCGGCATACATACAAGGAAGTGGCAGTAGTCCTAAGAAGTAGTGGCATTGATCTTGACCACAATCGTTTCCTCATTCTACAGGTAATACAGGATGCTTGTTAGCGCCGGGATTCTAACCTTGGCAACTTATGATCTCAAAGGGGAATATTCTATTTCTTTGCGCAATATTAAGTTGAATGTTGTTATGTGGCAGGTGATGTTGATGAAGCAGAAGACTCTTACCCTTCTGGAACACCTGGTCTTATTCTACATGTGCTGCCAGTCATGCAAGAGATCCCTCAATCATGCAAGGCAAAGCAAAAAGTCTTTGTATAATCTGCGTGGTAAAAATGCTGTATTCTTTAATTTGATTCAGGCATTTAATCTAATCCCTTTTCCAGATGATAAATGTGAAACATGCCTGAAGAAAGATGATTTGTGTCTCTAAAAATAACATTGATTTATCTATTTTGCCAGGGTGAGGTCGAGCAGATTGCCATGATGAAACCTAAAGGTTTGACAGAAAGTGAAGATGGCATGTTAGAATTCCTGGAAGACATTATTGGCAGTAACCGCTTCAAGGAGCCCATTGAAATCCTTGCCAAACGGGTAGAAACCCTGAATGAAATGAGGGGTGAAAAGGTACAGTGTTAGAAACTTACATGAAAGTACAGTGAATGAAACATACTTTTGCTTTCATAAGAAATATCATACCTGTACAAAAAATTGAGATTTACGAAAATTTTATAAGAATGGTTGTTTTTTAATCCAAGGTATAATTCTATACTTATTGGTATTTTACTTGGCTTGCACTGTCAGTTGCCATCAGCACCAATGGTGAAAATGAAGACTCTTTGGCGATTTAAAAATTACATTGGCAAAAGTTTGAATTGCCAAAATAAACTGACATGTCACTGCTACAGTGACTTGAATTGCCAGTGAAGCCCTATCCACCCAGACATCTTGACACTGACCTCATTATATACACAAAGTGGCGTGATCATGTCACTACCTGCTATTACCTCAGTGGTGAGTCTCGTGTCATTTGTAAGGGGCTATGGGGTGCCCAGGTGGTTGTCTGTCTGCATCCTCAGGCAATCACACTCATAGTTAATAACCATTATCCTGTGGTTGTAATTTGGGACCATTACTTGAAAACCAAACACTGTTTATAGTTGTCACTAATTTACTTACATGACCACCTTTGTTAAAGAGGAAATACACATACTGGTATGGTGCTTAAAAAAATTGGTATGAAAAAATACAGATTTTCAGCATAGATCTTCAAGAATGTTAAACACCCAGAAAATCAATGTTAAATAGAAGTAAAAGCAGTATCAAAAACTCTTTTAGAGGAAAAAATAAACCTAGAATGTACAAGATATGTATCAAAACTCCAACATACAGGGGTTAAACAACGACTGGCTGTGGTATATGGTATTTTTTCATTCAAGAAAGCTATTTTTAAAAAATAGAAGAAAAAACATGAGCAATAACAGATGTTTTGAATCTTATAAACAATACCCTGACCTGTTTCTATCACATTGAAATAGCTATTCTGAAGATGAATTGACCTGTTCTGTACCCATGTTTTGCTTACTTTATTATGATTAGTTAAGGACATAATGATGTGACTTTCATCAATATGATAATGATTAATTGGCAAAACTGACGATTTCAGAAATACATGGAAATCAAAATCAGATTTTAACAAATGAAATTGTGAACCACTGATTGTGTCTACTCATTACAGAGAGTGTTTGAAGTGTCCAGTTGGTCAAAGTTCACTGTTTCAGCCAATCAAAACAAGTAAAAGTGTTTCACCATAAGCACATGTGGTTTAATTTGTATGTTTATACAACAGTTGGAACGATTAATTCATGCCTTTGTAGTTGGATAACACCAACCTAATTTGGTAGAAAGTATCTTTGATGACAAATAGAAGATTGGTGATCAGTAACTTTGCAATGAGGATGCAGAAAAACATTCATACCGTAAATATAACAGCAACGAATTCATGCTCAGATGGCAAAAAATCTTTTACCAGAATGAAAATGACATAACTGATTATATTGTTATCATTCAAATCCTGTTTCACCTGGCAGATAGCAGCTGAAACTGGATTAGAATACTTGACAAGTTATTTCTGATAAAACATTCAAGGGATCCTGAAAAAAATAAAAATTTGAGATGAGTAGTTTATTTCTTGTCTGGGTTAATTTGTTTTTCTCAACTAGGTTATCCTTAAAATATTTTTTCTTTTGTCATTGACTAACTCACTCCGGTCGGTGGAGAGGGGAAATGGCTTATTCCAATGAAAAGAAAGACAAGTGTGAAATATTGTTTATTTACATTCCGGTCCAGGTCACCAGTCATGGTCACCAGTCATTCAGATATTTTAAGTTGCGGAATGGGGTAATAAGAGGCACAAGCATGCATGCAAAATCATATCCAAATACCCAGTCAATAAATATATTATGTGGGTTTTTTTTTCTCTTTTATACTTTTGGGTCAATATCAAATACAGCAGTATTTTTGCCTTAGTCCACAGTTTGCTGATTTATTTTCTTCTAAGTTTACTGATTTCAGGGAAATATAGAGAAAAAAATCAGGAAGGAAATAGACTGAAAACTTTTTCTCTATTTTGTAGCTGAACAGAGTAAAAGCGGTAGAAAAGGAGAAGGATGATTTAGAAGGATCTAAGAATGAAGCTGTGGAGTTTCTGTCTATGGAGAATGAGATCATTCGACACAAAAACAAACTGTACCAGAAATATATGTGAGTTTAGATCTGATTGGCTCATCTGAAACAAAAATACTGTTTTATACTCAGCCACTACTTAAACTTCTGTTATTCCAGTGATCCATGCACATATTTACTTATATGGATCATATACATTGCTAAGACAAGTCCTAACTGTATTCAACAAATATATATTTCAGTGAAGTTTGTCAATTGTACAGCAGTTTTAAAGCAGAATTTTTAATACTATCATACTATGTACTACTACCTGTACAAATAGGGGCATGGTCTCAGTGGGACAGTCATCAGGTATTGACTGTAGGTTGGTGGTTTGTCGTTGGGAACTCTGGCTTATCTCCACCACCTAAACCTGGCACATATTTAATTCAATACCCTGTTTGTGTGTAGGAAGTAAAGCAACAATAACGTAAATGGTTGTAATGGGATTGGGTTTATTTTTACTCTGTAATTATTGAAATATGTAATTTTTATTTCGTCTGTGACAAAAATCACAAAAGGAGACTGTGGTGTGACTTTTCTGATGGCGTCCGCTAGATCAGTTCTTTATTTCCAGTTTTCCATTTTGATCAACTCAGCAGACAAGAATTTGATGGGTTTTTTTCCTGATATAGTCACCACTCTTTAACATGATGTATGCTCTGTATAAAGTTAGCTTGTTTGTTATACTGATTTCAGTAAAGAGTGTGCTGTGAATGAGGAAAAAGCAACAGAGCAGTATAACAAAATCAATGAAGGGATGAAAGAGGTCAATGGAAAGATGCAGTCCATCACAGATGCCATGAAGGCAAAGGAAAAGGAGCATAAACGAATCCTAAAGTAGGAAATTTAGATCAAGTTTTAGTAGTGTCTGTCAAATAATATAAACATACAATCTGGTCATTATTAAGGAAATACTTGACACTGAGTACTGGGAAAATTTCACAAACTGAAATATTTGTTGTTTACTGATGCTGAGTGTTTATTTTGTCACAATTTAATTGTTATTGATGGTGAATTACAAGTATTGATGTTATAATTGATATGCCCTAAATTAAGTTAAACAGGAGAAATGATTAAAGCCATATATAGTAATGAACATACTCAGCAGCCTTAGAGATTCTTCATTGACTACTATTGTCCAATGTAGGCAATACGAAATGTTGGTTGTGAAAGGAGATGAGGCAAAGGAAAGATTCAGTGAATTTGAAAAACAGGATGTGAAATGTCGAGAGGACATGAAACACACCAAGTCCAAAGCTAAAAAACTGGAGAAGACGTTAGAACAAGAGAAAAAGAAGGTATTGTTAAACATGTGCATAGGAGTGTGAAGAAAGAAGTTCACAAAATAGTTATGCAAAATGAGAAAACGTGAGACTAAATGTTAATCATCCCTCGGCATCAAAGTTAAGATATTCCACTTAGAGTTGTTTCTTAGAAAGAGTAAGTACTACAGAAACCAACTTTGGCTTTGTAAGGAGTACAAGTCAGGTCAGTGTTCAGGTATAGAGTATAAATTACGAGTCCAGTCCTATCAATCACTCTTAGATAAATAGACATCAAGATTTGAAGGATTTTGGAAATTATCAAGAACACCTTTAAGCAATTTCAAATTGATTTGAAGTTTGTACAAATCTTGAAGAAACAAAGTCATTTTAATTAACTCATTCATATTTTTTTTCTGCATATTTAGCAGAGTCAAAGTGGGGACATAAATACATTTGCTGTGAAGTTTTCTTTGTCATTCTAAATAAGAGATGATAATTTACAATTTTCTGATTTGAAAAAAAAAGAAATGAAATCAAAACTTTGTTTAACATAAAAAGGATTCTTTCATAGGTGGAAGAATTCAAGGCTATGCCAGAGCAGACGGAACAAGTAATTGCAGAACATCGTCGTAAACTAGAGAGACTGGAAAAAGACAAAAAGAAGGAGGAGGAAAAACTGGCAGAAGTGATGGAAAGTTTGAAGACGGAGACAAAAGTAAGTCATCAGAGAAATGATCCAACCTTTTTCAGCCTGATTATCCCCTGTTGTGAGAGACAAAAGTAAGTCATCAGAGAAAAGATCCAACCTTTTTCAGCCTGATTATCTCCTGCTGTGAGAGACAAAAGTAAGTCATCAGAGAAAAGATCCAACCTTTTTCAGCCTGATTATCCCCTGCTGTGAGAGACAAAAGTAAGTCGTCAGAGAAATGATCCGACTGTTTTCAGCCTGATTATCTCCTGTTGTGAGAGACAAAAGTAAGTCGTCAGAGAAAAGATCCGACTGTTTTCAGCCTGATTATCCCCTGGTGTGAGAGACAAAAGTAAGTCATCAGAGAAATGATCCGACTGTTTTCAGCCTGATTATCTCCTGGTGTGAGAGACAAAAGTAAGTCATCAGAGAAAAGATCCGACTGTTTTCAGCCTGATTATCCCCTGCTGTGAGAGACAAAAGTAAGTCATCAGAGAAAAGATCCGACTGTTTTCAGCCTGATTATCCCCTGGTGTGAGAGACAAAAGTAAGTCATCAGAGAAATGATCCGACTGTTTTCAGCCTGATTATCCCCTGCTGTGAGAGACAAAAGAGTAAGCCTGATTATCTGTGAGAGAAAAGATCCAACCATTTTGCCTGATTATCCCCTGGTGTTTTCAGCCTGATTATCCCCTGGTGTGAGAGACAAAAGTAAGTCGTCAGAGAAAAGATCCAACCATTTTCAGCCTGATTATCCCCTGGTGTGAGAGACAAAAGTAAGTCGTCAGAGAAAAGATCTGACTGTTTTCAGCCTGATTATCCCCTGGTGTGAGAGACAAAAGTAAGTCATCAGAGAAAAGATCCAACCTTTTTCAGCCTGATTATCCCCTGGTGTGAGAGACAAAAGTAAGTCGTCAGAGAAAAGATCCGACTGTTTTCAGCCTGATTATCCCCTGGTGTGAGAGACAAAAGTAAGTCATCAGAGAAAAGATCCGACTGTTTTCAGCCTGATTATCCCCTGCTGTGAGAGACAAAAGTAAGTCATCAGAGAAAAGATCCGACTGTTTTCAGCCTGATTATCCCCTGGTGTGAGAGACAAAAGTAAGTCGTCAGAGAAATGATCCGACTGTTTTCAGCCTGATTATCCCCTGGTGTGAGAGACAAAAGTAAGTCATCAGAGAAATGATCCGACTGTTTTCAGCCTGATTATCCCCTGTTGTGACTGCAGAGGGATATGTAGCATTCACTTGCATGTATGTTCACCTTTTGCCATCATTCTAGCAACTTCATTTCTGAACAGAGTTTTAACTAGACACTGTTAGATGCCGCCCTACATGCCACATGGCTAACGGGCGTGAGTGAGTGACTATTAGATGCACCATCCCTTGGGATGTGCTCTTAAACGTACTTGATTATTAATAGGAGTGAGGGAATTTGTATTGTTTGCGATGCCTTTTTTTCATTTAATTGTTGATAATTAAGACACATGGAAAAAAAAATTTGTCTGACATTTGTTGAATATAAAATCTTGTTCCTAATTGGAAATGTCTGACAACTTTTTCTCTTCTTCAGTAATCGTTGTGATACCTTATTTCATTTCTATAATGATTTACAAGGGGCGAAAATTGCATCCTTTAATTTCATTGAGAATTAGAGGGGCTTGGACGTAAAAAAAAAATGTAACTATATTGTTACTTATGATTTTTCCTATTGCAGTACAATTTGTATAACTGAAAATGACATCATATGTTAGCCCCCAAATATTTCTACTTGACAGGGTCTACAGGAAGAAAAAGAGAAAAAGGAAGAAGAACTACTGGGGCTACAGAAATCTGTTAACGACACCAAGTCAAAGGTAATGGAAAATTAATGTCATGCTGAAGACTGGTTAATGTAACGCTAAAGACTGGTTAATGTCATGCTAAAGACTGGTTAATGTAACGCTAAAGACTGGTTTATGTCACACTCAAGATTGGTTTATGTCATGCTAAAAACTGGTTAATGTCACACTCAAGATTGGTTGATTTCACACTATAGACTGGTTAATGTCATACCTAGATTTGTCATTTTCAGTGATTTTTTAAATTTGTGCTTTTCCTGTGGGACTGACTCAGATTTTGAAAACCCGTTATATCCATAATTAATGGGACTCATGGAAACCTGTAGACTCACCTGATAAAGATCTTACAAATATTAGTGCATTTTCATTGATCTGTTGTTTTCTTGAATCATCTTTTGTTTTGAATATGTTATACAACCACTGTTGATATCACCGAGTTTAGTTTGGTTAGACAATTCTCCTTTTATCACCAGAACCGCTTTTTAGTATCTATAAATACTGATCTATGTAAAAGCATTTGCCCATTACATTTACATTGATTTTTTCCCCAGTTGTACAGCTGAAAAGGTTACTTCTCTTATATGAGCTAAAATGTGTGTTATTTCTTAAAACAAAGCAAAAACTAAGAATGTTTTCCCAGTTTTTGGGGAAATCCTTTATTTTTCTAATTTATGAAGGCAAGTGATAAAAAACGCTGTTTAAATGTTTTATTAGACCAACAGGAGTTTTTGTATGATTGTTTAGATATTGATTATTTACTTGAAGAAAAAAATAGTTGCAGTTGCACATTTCAGGTGAATTTGATTAAGTGTAGCCTTACCTAAACACTTTCCCATTTAATGTATATTCTAGTTAAACATTGCTCAGTCAGAGCTGGATATCTACCTTAGTACTCAGCAAAGTGAGACCTCTAAGTTAGAGGAGATGCAGAGGAACCTAAATAAAGCTTCCACTACTGTAAAAGACAGGCAAAGGTCAGTATGTTCATCTTCTCTCCCTCATTTTCTTCAAAAAAAAAAAAACCAACGAAATCCGCAGTTTGTTAAAAAGAAATTGTATATGTAATTATATATGCAAAATATTTCTCATGAATAGTGCATACATTGGTTTGAAATGAACATTTTACCTCCACAGCTATTTAAAAGATCTTAAAAAGAAGTTACCAGAAACTGAAAATATTATTGAAAAAGCCAAGAAGGATATAGAGCTGGCCACAGCTACAGAACTTAAATGTGTGAATGAGGTAAGTTTGAGATGACAGTGATAAACCTCAATACTGAGATATCTATCTGAATTTTACTGCAGCCTGTATCTGCATCAGTTGGAAGAATGCAATAAATTTTGTCCAGTTTCTGGATCTGTGAAGACATGTCTATTTTCTATTAACATGAACCTATACTTTCACTGTATTAACAAAGATATTTGAAAGGAAAAAAAATCTTTTCGCAACTGTATCATACAGTTAAGGAGTGTCAGGACCAAAGTAGAAGAGACTCGAAGCTCTCTACAGGCAGCTAAGAGACAAGGCAAAGTGATTGAGGCTTTATTGGAAGCCAAGAAGCGGGGAGTGATGCCTGGTGTTTGTGGGAGATTGGTAAGTGTGATACAAAGTATCTTCTACACATGTACAGGACAATAGATATAATATATATACCCAAACAGTAGAAAACAGATGAAAGGAAAGTGTATTTTTCAGCTCATCTACTAAATAAGTTAATGCCTTAAAACTGAAAACTTCAAAGCCCTGAGGTGCAAAAGTTACTTTATAATCTTTCTCTATATTATGACAAACTGTAAATTTATGGTGCACAGCAATACTATAGAAATTGGTTAAATTTGTCAGCACTGATACTGCATTTAGAAACTAGAAAGTGATTCCTTGCTCTCAAATTGATATACAGAACAAGATGAATTGAAAAACAAATATTGAAGTAGGATTAGTTAAACACAGGTAGGGATTGAATTAGTTCTCCATTGATGTAAACCTTATGTTATTGTCAAATGACAAATGGAAGAGTTCAAATTTTGAACTTTTCTTTGAAAATGTTAAGTAATCCGTGTGTTTAAAGTCAAGTCTAAATCAAAATCAAATGTTGACATAAAAGTGTGACATTTTACTTTACTCTGGTGATGGTTAGATCCAATGTAATCAACAAATGTATAGTGGATTATTCTGTAATTCAGGTAGAAATAAAAAGAAATTGTTTATGGATTCTTGTAGTATAAATCACACCTAACATTATAGAATAAGGTTTTAGAATTCAGTGTGATATACCAGAATTTTACTCTCTTTTTTTTAGACGTCATGAAGTGTTGTCTCTTGTCTTTCCATTAATCATTGTCAAGAACTGTTGCAGTCTGACATACACTCATTGAAAGTGATAGGATTTTGAAATTGTCTGTGAAAGTGCATTTGCATTTAAACATCAATGATGTGCAGTGGAAGTGGAAATATCTTAAATAATGACATGTTTCAGCTGGTAAACTAAGTGAAGTGTTGTTTTTCTCTGTCACCTGTAAACTAAGTGAAGTGTTGTTTTTCTCTGTCACCTGTAAACTAAGTGAAGTGTTGTTTTTCTCTGTCACCTGTAAACTAAGTGAAGTGTTGTTTTTCTCTGTCACCTGTAAACTAAGTGAAGTGTTGTTTTTCTCTGTCACCTGTAAACTAAGTGAAGTGTTGTGTTTCTCTGTCACCTGTAAACTAAGTGAAGTGTTGTGTTTCTCTGTTACCTGTAAACTGAGTGAAGTATTGTGTTTCTCTGTAACTTGTAAACTGAGTGAAGTATTGTATTTCTCTGTCACCTGTAAACTGAGTGAAGTGTTGTTTCTCTGTCACCTGTAAACTGAGTGAAGTGTTGTGTTTTGCTGTCACCTGTAAACTGAGTGAAGTATTGTCTTTCCTTGGGTCCATATCGTCCATGAATCCATTTTTAGCGAATGATAAAGAATCAATGAAATTTCTATTATCATGAAATTTCTTCATGTTACACTTCAAAATATTAATACACTGCAACGGTTACAATATTTGAGACATTACACCTTCCATTAAGTTATAGTGGCCATGAATATAGATTAGTTCACTATTGGGGTGATATGTTATGTGCTGACTCTTTAAAATTGAATTTTAATATCCCTGTGTGTAATTTCATGTTAATATCCCTGTGTGTAATTTCATGTTAATATCCCTGTGTGTAATTTCATGTTGATATCCCTGTGTGTAATTTCATGTTGATATCCCTGTGTGTAATTTCATGTTGATATCCCTGTGTGTAATTTCATATTAATATCCCTGTGTGTAATTTCATGTTAATATCCTTGTGTGTAATTTCATGTTAATATCCCTCTGTGTAATTTCATGTTAATATCCCTGTGTGTAATTTCATGTTAATATCCCTGTGTGTAATTTCATGTTAATATCCCTGTGTGTAATTTTATGTTAATATCCCTGTGTGTAATTTCATGTTAATATCCCTGTGCATAATTTTGTGTTACCAGGGTGACCTTGGTGCAATTGATGGGAAGTACGATGTTGCCATATCAACAGCTTGTGGAGCTCTCGACCACATTGTTGTGGATACTATTAATACAGCCCAGCAATGTGTCCAGTTCCTCAAGAAGAACAACATTGGGTCCGCTACCTTCATAGGTCTTGATAAGATGGCCAAGTGGACTGAACACACCAAGAGAAAAATATCTCCGTAGGTATACTTTGTGGACAATAACTGCTACAGCAGACGCTGAAAAAAGTCATACATAGATAGTAAGCCATGAGAATAAAACAGGTGCTGCTATTAAACTAGCAATTGTTCACTTATACACTGAAGTGGTCCAAGTTATAAGTCAATATTTCTAACCTATAACTTCAGTTTTTGATGTTGATATGTAACCTCTGTACACAGACCAGAGAATGTGCCTCGCCTCTTTGACCTAGTGAAGACCAAAGATGAGAGCTACTTACCAGCTTTTTACTTTGCCCTGAGGGATACGCTTGTAGCCAATGACCTTGAGCAAGCCACAAGGATAGCCTATGGAAAGACACGCTACAGGGTGGTGACACTTCAAGGACAGCTCATTGACCAGTCAGGTAGGTATGCAAGGATCCCTGATACTGTGGAGAAGACAAAAAGGGTTTGTGAAAAGACCAGGTCAAGACCAAAGTCTGGTTTATAAGACAATGAAGTATATTTGTGCTGCCCAATTGAGGGGTGATTATGAAGGTTTGTAGGGTACTAGTTAGTATAATTACTGTGATGCTTTGAGAATAGGTTTTATCATAGTTCAACATCAAGGGAGAGCATATAGTGGCCGCTTTGTTCATATGGCCGTTTGTTCATCTGTCATAATTTTGTCCGGGGCATAACACAAAAACTAAAAGAGGTATCAAAATAACACTTCATAGGTAGATCACATCAAGAAGTGCAGTGCTCCAGAACAATCACTCTTTTTTGCTTAATTTACGAGTTATTGGTCTTTGTTATTTTTGTCATACTTAAATTTTGTCCAGAGCATTACACTAAAACTATATGGGGTATCAACATGAAAATTCCTAGGTTGATCGATATCAATGAGTAGAAGGGAAGTGTACAAGAATAATAACTCTCTTATTACCCTTTGTTATATTTCGTTCTTAAATTTTGTTCCAATCAGGGATCATAACCTGTCTCTGACAGCCCTTGTTTGTTTTTGTTTATGTTTTGTTTTACCTTTCCACTCATAACTCAATATTTTAGAACATTGTGCAGTGAAAAATGATTATCATTTTCAAGTGAAATATTCAACACTTGTTAGAATGAAATATTTGTGTTTGAATGTTCCCAGTACAAAGGAGATAACTTAAAAGCATGCAAAACATTACTTACAGTACAATATCATGTAAATGATTCAATGTGTGCACTGTTTGAGGCATTAAATTCCATCGCTGTTTAATTTTACTTCCCTTCACATCAAAATTTACCAAATTAGAAGAAAAATTAATTTAAAAACCCCCTTCCTCTCACTCCTGTTTTTTTCCAAAATTTCCCATAGAACTACTATTCAAATTGGTGTGGCCTTACAGACACACTCTAGTTTTAAGGAAAAACATTGCACATGATGATTTAAATCTTATCCTCCACCAGAAGTAGGGTATAATTTATAGAATTGTATTCTGTGCATGACCTTGTCAGATGTTCTAGTTTACATATCAGATTTCAGACTTGTTTTAAAATCAACTTGAATTGATGGTTGCTGTTTGTAGGTACCATGTCAGGAGGAGGGAAGACGGTGTGTAAAGGAAGGATGGGTTCAGCTGTTGTAGCAGATGTTGACCCCAAGGAACTAAACAACCTGGAAAATTCCCTGGAAAAGCTGGCAAGTGATGCTCAGCAGAGCCGGGCCAATAAAGAAAGACTGGAAGATCTGATCAGGGAGCAGGAGAAATCCCTAAACAACACTAAACACACCATAGATAAGTGTGAGATGGATATAAAGGTAGGTCACTTAGTAGGAGTCAGTTCTCACAGATATATACTCACACAACACCACATACACTGACTGTTAAAATGCAGAAACAATAAAAAACAGATTGGTAAAGTTGTAAATTTTGTTGGAGAAATCATTTTTAAAACTTAGATTTGAATCAATCATTTAGAATCTAAGAATAGTTATACATGTATTTTGTTACATAAAAAAACTCGCCTAAAACAATCTCATTTTTCATTTATTAATGAGGGATCGCTATCAGATCTAAGTTTAAAATAGTGGAAAAGTCTTTTATGCCTCACAAAAATTGACATTTCAACTTCTGTGTCATCTTGTTGAAGAATGTACATAACTCTTTCTCCACATTTTGTATTACAGGCGATGTCTGAACAGGAGACAACTTTAACCTCACAAATTAAAGAACAAGAAGCTAGAGTTAAGGCTGCAGCCCCTGATGAAAAGGAACTCCAACAGCAGAAGAAAAAAGTGGAAGAATACAAAAAAGGTATTTATATTTAATTGACTGATCTGTCAAATTTGATAGACGATTAAAAAGATAACTCTTGTACCAACTGACAAATACTTTTCTCAAATTGGTTCCTAAATTTGCCTACATTTTTTTCTAATTAAACTCCATTTTCAAAGAAGCGTCTGTTGAATCCGGGGCAAAGGTTTTATTTGAGGATACCATCTTTACGACATTGACTGATAAAGCTTTTGTGTGAAAATCAGAAAATCAAAATAGTTTATCCCTTTAGGTTTGCTGTCATGGCAATTATCAAAATCATCGCTTTTTTTATAATCTAAAGTATGCTATGACATCTTTTCTGTTACAGAATATGAGAAAGCCTCTGGAGTAGCTGCTAAGATTGAGAAGGAAGTTCAAAGGTTACGAAAAGTTTTCTTTTATGTTGTAATTCACTGGTTGTAGTTTTTTTAAAGATAATGAAAACAGGAGATTAGCTTGAAACTGGCATATTACATGTGGTGTACATATTTCTGTGGATTATTAATGAAGTTGTATTCTCATTTGACATAGAATTAACAATAACCACAGAAAATATAATTAAATTGTTATCTGCATGATACAAGATATTGATAGCAAGAATACATTAGTTAAAATGCTGCTAATGTACCGTGTTGTTGATGGCCATGCAATGTAAGATATTGATGGGGATGTTACAATTGTTAACAAGCTATGAGTATAAGATTTGGGTGGTAATCACTGTTTTCACTGGCTTCATTCTAACATCCATTCTTCTAATGATTCATTTTAAGATACTAGAGATCACAATATCAAGGATATAACATGTAACTTTAATTGGTAAAATAGGTAAGGTTAGAAAAATAGTGGTCTGGAACATTGGACTTAAATGTTTGAGTGATAGTGTCAACTATTTTGTATGGAACCAATCCTGGTCCCTCCATTGTCCGCAGTTGCAGTCTTTTAGGAGACAATAGTGATGTGTAGATATAGTAAACTGTACTAACTCGTTCCTATATAATTAAGGCAAGTAGAAATATTGTCTTTTAAAAAGTCAGTGATTGTCCTGTTGACATAATATATAACTACCACATATGTAGTCACCAAGAGTTCAAAATGTTTTATAGATTACACAATGAGATCATGGACATCGGTGGATCCAAGATGCAGGCTGTCCAGAGTAGGGTTGACGCTGTCTCCAACCACATTGACCAGGTCACAGGTCAAATCACAAAAGCACAGGTGGCAATGAAGACTACAGCCAGGTATGTTGGTATTCTGCCTGTCTTGTGTTCACCTGCTGAGATATTTGTTTTTGCACTTATTTTAGATAAATGAATTGACACAAAGTCAACAGAATTTGCTAGACATGATATGTACAGTGGATCTGCTCAAAATCTTGCTGAAAGGAAATTTTTTAGGTTTTAGGAGAGTGCTGCTTCAAGAATGGAACTAAGATAGATTTTTTTGTAATCTGTATAATTTCTTAATCATTTACGGAATAAAAGTTATTAATACACAACCAGTTCATGATTGGAGTGAGATGTTTCAAAGACTACACTGTCACCTTCATTAGACAAATGATCAGTGTGGAGTGTACTATCACTGACGTATGTAGTGTACGAGATGCTAAGTAATGACCTAGGATTTCACCTGTGCTATAATCCTTGGTATGCTAAAGTCAAAAACGGTGTAACATGGTGGTAATCAGATTATAGAAAACATCGATTTCATCACAACTTTATGCTCAAATCTTCTACTGGTTGTATTTAAAGAACTTTTATTCTGCTGACATTACTGAAGAAAATGTTCCGAACTATTCTCAATTATTTGTTTCATACAAGTACTACAAGCAACAATAGATTTGATATATATTCCAATTTACATATATAAATATCTATATATACGTGCAAGTTTTCTGGGGGTTGGGGGCGGGTTTGTGTTCATTTTGTATATCATGTACTGATGCCTTTGAGAATTGCATATCTTTTTTAAATCACTATTGTGAATGAAAGTCTTAATTAAGAGATGTGTTGTTGGTAATTGATGACATTTGAACATAAAATATAAACAGTATTGTAAAATTTGATGTAAATTGTCTGTTTGTAGGAATTTAAAGAAAGCAGAGGAGAAAGTGGAGTCTGTAGAAGAGGAAATTGAGGATAACAAAAAAAAGATTGAAGAGTTGGACACGCTCTTCAAACAGCTGGAAGAAGATGCCACATCTGTTTTACAGAACTACCAGGATTTAAAGGTACATCTTATTACAAGATAATGGCATTTCTCAACATCTAAGTAATTTATAACTTCATGCAGAAAGCTGTCTATTAATGTGAATATTTTTGGGGTTTTTTTGTCCTTAACTTCATAGGTGTTTCAGCACTGTTTGATGATGTAAAATTTCCATGAAGTGTGAAATTTAAAATTTGAGATACTTTCTAAATGGATTTATTTCTGCTTATGCCTGCCTAAATTTAGTTAACCTTTCTTTCTTTCTTATAGAAAATTGCATTTTTTTTTGCTATGATAATCAATCTGTTTTCTTTTTTAAACACAAAATAAGAAAATCTATATACTTATGAAACACTATGCCCCAAGTCGCAAAGAAATACTGAAGTGGGACATTAAAACTAATGTGTAAGGCATGTGCTAATTGGATGCACACTTTGCAAAAAACTTATGGTTTCATTGCAATCTGAACTCACACTTATGCACAAAATGTTTTTGTATACTGAGATAAGCGAAACTACAAATATCAAATCATTGCAATGGTTGCAGAGATAATGCATGGAAACTGAATTATTAGAACTTTTGAAGTTCAAGGGTCACAACTCTGTCAAACATTAAAGCCTACCTCCTACAGTGCAATAGTTAAGGCAAATGTTGTAAGTTTTTCAAATATAGGTTAAAGGTCATCGTTAAGGTCACATGGTCAGACATTTTAGTACCAGAAAGGACTTGTTACAAGGAAAACACATACCAAATATGAAAGCCGTAGCTGTTATGATGCAATGGTTATGGGCAAAGTTAAAGTTGACAACACACAACACAAAAACATTATGCTTAGAAAAAAAGAAAGTAAAAAGATATCCCTTCCAAACCACTTCAGTAATAGACTAAATATCCATATTTTGAACGGCAAGGAAGACAAAAGTTGCGAAAGAAATTGTGTGATACTTGTGTACTATGTAAAATTTGTCTTGTAGGACAAAATAAAAGAGGCAGATGATGAGCTTAGTGGGGTGAAGGATGAGATTGCTAAACACGAGGAGGAGCAGAATCTGCTGCAGAAAGAAGTGGTTGATGTTAGACACGAGCTTGAGAAATTTGATGGAATTATCAAATCTAATGTACAGAAAATTAAACATTGGAAAAAAGAGGTTTGTTTCTTTCCTGTGATTTAAATAAAACAAGTTAAAAGTTGACTTTATTGTTATGGTAGCCTTGGTGTTGTGATGGTAGTAGATGATACTGTATTTCTGTTGATATTATCAACCCTAGCACTTTTTATGTCATTCATTTACTTAAAATCTGATATCAATCATATACTGTCAATATGATCAGATGATAATCATAAGTGTTTCTCATGTTAGTTACTGGAATTTTAAAATGAAAAATATTTACCAATCTGCTGAATTTATATACTGAATACTGAATTCTTGAGCCTTCTATTCTACTGTTGCTTGTGCTACACTAAATGGGACTCCATTTGTTAAAAAGTGTAACTAGATTGTTATAATTTTATCTTTAAACATCTTCCTATTGTTATGTAAATGTTAACTATTGTTTAATAGTTGACCTTGACCTCTATAGAGGGTAAGGGAGATAAACTATTTAGGATTGTTACGTAAATATTCACGATTGATTTATTGTAGATTGGTCAGCTGACCTTGACCTCTATAGAAGGTAAGGGAGATATAGATCTACCCACTATTGAGGATTGTTACATAAATACTCACGATTGATTTATTGTAGATTGGTCAGCTGACCTTGACCTCTATAGAGGGTAAGGGAGATACAGATCTACCCACTATTGAGGATGAAGAGCTGGTGACTGTTGATAAGGAAGCCACTCAGTATGAGATCACAGTCTTAGAGGAGAAACTAGCTCAGATGAAACCCAACATGGCTGCCATTGCAGAATATAGGAAAAAGGTTAGAGACTTTCCAGTGTTTTTTTGTATACAGCTAAAATACATAATGTACAACAAGGAATGTAAACAAGGCTGATTTTGGTCGTGAAAACCAAGTATACTGTAATGTCACGCTATCAGTAAGGGAGTATAATGAAACTATTTCTAAATGTACAATATATATATCTACTCTGTTACTTACCAACAAGCTAGCTGTATCAGATACTTAACAATATGGCAATGTTTTGATATTTGGCTAGTATGTTCCTTGAATGAAGCCTGACGAAGTTTGCAGGAAGAAATGGCCTTGACCTATGTTCAGATTCTTTTAAGGAACTAAAAGTCTTAGAAGCATAATGACCTTGACCCTTATTCAAGGTCAAAGTCGTCAAACAAATTAAAATCTTAACATGACTTCTTCCGTCTTAACAAAAGGAGCAGAACTTCTGCCTAACCCCAAAGGTGCAAAAGCATTATATTTGGCTGATAGTTTTCTAGGATGATAGATTTCTAGGATGATAGGTTTCTAGGATGATAGATTTCTAGGATGATAGGTTTCTAGGATGATAGTTTTCTAGGATGATAGTTTTCTAGGATGATAGGTTTCTAGGATGATAGGTTTCTAGGATGATAGATTTCTAGGATGATAGGTTTCTAGGATGATAGGTTTCTAGGATGATAGATAGGTTTCTAGGATGATAGGTTTCTAGGATGATAGGTTTCTAGGATGATAGATTTCTAGGATGATAGGTTTCTAGGATGATAGGTTTCTAGGATGATAGATTTCTAGATAGGTTTCTAGGATGATAGGTTTCTAGGATGATAGGTTTCTAGGATGATAGATTTCTAGGATGATAGGTTTCTAGGATGATAGATTTCTAGATAGGTTTCTAGGATGATAGGTTTCTAGGATGATAGGTTTCTAGGATGATAGGTTTCTAGGATGATAGGTTTCTAGGATGATAGGTTTCTAGGATGATAGATTTCTAGGATGATAGATTTCTAGATAGGTTTCTAGGATGATAGATTTCTAGGATGATAGGTTTCTAGGATGATAGATTTCTAGGATGATAGGTTTCTAGGATGATAGATTTCTAGGATGATAGGTTTCTAGGATGATAGGTTTCTAGGATGATAGGTTTCTAGGATGATAGGTTTCTAGGATGATAGATTTCTAGGATGATAGGTTTCTAGGATGATGATAGATTTCTAGGATGATAGGTTTCTAGGATGATAGATTTCTAGGATGATAGGTTTCTAGGCTGATAGGTTTCTAGGATGATAGGTTTCTAGGATGATAGGTTTCTAGGATGATAGGTTTCTAGGATGATAGATTTCTAGGATGATAGATTTCTAGGATGATAGATTTCTAGATAGGTTTCTAGGATGATAGATTTCTAGGATGATAGGTTTCTAGGATGATAGGTTTCTAGGATGATAGATTTCTAGGATGATAGGTTTCTAGGATGATAGATTTCTAGGATGATAGGTTTCTAGGATGATAGGTTTCTAGGATGATAGATTTCTAGATAGGTTTCTAGGATGATAGGTTTCTAGGATGATAGATTTCTAGGATGATAGATTTCTAGGATGATAGATTTCTAGGATGATAGATTTCTAGGATGATAGGTTTCTAGGATGATAGGTTTCTAGGATGATAGGTTTCTAGGATGATAGGTTTCTAGGATGATAGGTTTCTAGGATGATAGATTTCTAGGATGATAGGTTTCTAGGATGATAGGTTTCTAGGATGATAGGTTTCTAGGATGATAGATTTCTAGGATGATAGGTTTCTAGGATGATAGGTTTCTAGGATGATAGGTTTCTAGGATGATAGATTTCTAGATAGGTTTCTAGGATGATAGGTTTCTAGGATGATAGATTTCTAGGATGATAGGTTTCTAGGATGATAGATTTCTAGATAGGTTTCTAGGATGATAGGTTTCTAGGATGATAGGTTTCTAGGATGATAGATTTCTAGGATGATAGGTTTCTAGGATGATAGGTTTCTAGGATGATAGATTTCTAGGATGATAGGTTTCTAGGATGATAGTTTTATAGGATGATAGGTTTCTAGGATGATAGGTTTCTAGGATGATAGGTTTCTAGGATGATAGGTTTCTAGGATGATAGGTTTCTAGGATGATAGATTTCTAGGATGATAGGTTTCTAGGATGATAGATAGATAGGTTTCTAGGATGATAGGTTTCTAGGATGATAGGTTTCTAGGATAGGTTTCTAGGATGATAGATTTCTAGGATATGATAGGTTTCTAGGATGATAGGTTTCTAGGATGATAGGTTTCTAGGATGATAGATAGGTTTCTAGGATGATAGATTTCTAGGATATAGGTTTCTAGGATGATAGGTTTCTAGGATGATAGGTTTCTAGGATGATAGGTTTCTAGGATGATAGATAGGTTTCTAGGATGATAGGTTTCTAGGATGATAGGTTTCTAGGATGATAGATTTCTAGGATGATAGGTTTCTAGGATGATAGGTTTCTAGGATGATAGATTTCTAGGATGATAGGTTTCTAGGATGATAGGTTTCTAGGATGATAGGTTTCTAGGATGATAGGTTTCTAGGATGATAGGTTTCTAGGATGATAGGTTTCTAGGATGATAGATTTCTAGGATGATAGGTTTCTAGGATGATAGATTTCTAGGATGATAGGTTTCTAGGATGATAGATTTCTAGATAGGTTTCTAGGATGATAGATTTCTAGGATGATAGGTTTCTAGGATGATAGATTTCTAGGATGATAGATTTCTAGGATGATAGGTTTCTAGGATGATAGATTTCTAGGATGATAGGTTTCTAGGATGATAGGTTTCTAGGATGATAGGTTTCTCTAGGAGGATGATAGGTTTCTAGGATGATAGGTTTCTAGGATGATAGGTTTCTAGGATGATGATAGAGGTTTCTAGGATGATAGGTTTCTAGGATGATAGATTTCTAGGATGATAGATTTCTAGATAGGTTTCTAGGATGATAGATTTCTAGGATGATAGGTTTCTAGGATGATAGATTTCTAGATAGGTTTCTAGGATGATAGGTTTCTAGGATGATAGGTTTCTAGGATGATAGATTTCTAGGATGATAGGTTTCTAGGATGATAGGTTTCTAGGATGATAGGTTTCTAGGATGATAGGTTTCTAGGATGATAGGTTTCTAGATAGGTTTCTAGGATGATAGATTTCTAGGATGATAGGTTTCTAGGATGATAGGTTTCTAGGATGATAGGTTTCTAGGATGATAGATTTCTAGATAGGTTTCTAGGATGATAGATTTCTAGGACCATTAGATTTCTAGATGATAGATTTTAACTAGGATGATAGTTTTTTTCATTACTTTTTAAAATCTCAAGACAGATTAATACAAATATTTTCTTACCAAAATTGAGAGCTTAGATACCAGTTCCGTTTCTAGTTTTATCAATATGATGTTGATTCTGTCAGCTAATTAGTAACAGGGTAGGAACCTGCTGCTTGTGCCAAATTTGATACTTTAAAAGTGTAACAAGATTCTGTGTTATATTAAACTGTAATATGTTATCCTAAGGCATAATTACTTGAACTCTGACCTTTGATATGCATTACATTTAACAGGAATCACTGTATCTACAACGTGTTGGTGAGCTTGACCAGATTACTGATGTTCGTGACCAACAAAGGAAGTACTTTGAGGATTTACGCAAACAACGACTTGATGAGTTTATGGCTGGTTTTAGCGTGATCACAAACAAATTGAAGGAGATGTACCAGATGATCACCCTTGGTGGGGATGCTGAACTGGAGCTTGTCGACTCTCTGGATCCATTCTCTGAGGGAATTGTGTTCAGGTTTGATACTTATCACTGTTAAAGGATGGTTATGAGCTTTGTTAAAGGATGGTTAGGAGCTTTGTTAAAGGATGGCTGGGAGCTTTGTTAAAGGATGGCTGGGAGCTTTGTTAAAGGATGGCTGGGAGCTTTGTTAAAGGATTGTTAGGAGCTTTGTTAAAGGATTGTTAGGAGCTTTGTTAAAGGATGGTTACGAGCTCTGTTAAAGGATGGTTACGAGCTTTGTTAAAGGATTGTTAGGAGCTTTGTTAAAGGATTGTTAGGAGCTTTGTTAAAGGATTGTTAGGAGCTTTGTTAAAGGATGGTTAGGAGCTTTGTTAAAGGATGGTTACGAGCTCTGTTAAAGGATGGTTACGAGCTGTGTTAAAGGATTGTTAGGAGCTTTGTTAAAGGATTGTTAGGAGCTTTGTTAAAGGATGGTTGGGAGCTTTGTTAAAGGATGGCTGGGAGCTTTGTTAAAGGATGGTTACGAGCTTTGTTAAAGGATGGTTACGAGCTGTGTTAAAGGATTGTTAGGAACTTTGTTAAAGGATGGTTAGGAACTTTGTTAAAGGATGGTTACGAACTTTGTTAAAGGATTGTTAGGAGCTTTGTTAAAGGATGGCTGGGAGCTTTGTTAAAGGATGGTTAGGAGCTTTGTTAAAGGATGGTTAGGAACTTTGTTAAAGGATGGTTACGAGCTTTGTTAAAGGATGGTTACGAGCTTTGTTAAAGGATGGTTACGAGCTGTGTTAAAGGATGGTTACGAGCTTTGTTAAAGGATGGTTACGAGCTGTGTTAAAGGATTGTTAGGAACTTTGTTAAAGGATGGTTAGGAACTTTGTTAAAGGATGGTTACGAGCTTTGTTAAAGGATGGTTACGAGCTTTGTTAAAGGATGGTTACGAGCTGTGTTAAAGGATTGTTAGGAACTTTGTTAAAGGATGGTTATGAGCTTTGTTAAAGGATGGTTAGGAGCTTTGTTAAAGGATGGCTGGGAGCTTTGTTAAAGGATGGTTATGAGCTTTGTTAAAGGATTGTTAGGAACTTTGTTAAAGGATGGCTGGGAGCTTTGTTAAAGGATGGTTAGGAGCTTTGTTAAAGGATGGTTACGAGCTTTGTTAAAGGATGGTTACGAGCTGTGTTAAAGGATTGTTAGGAACTTTGTTAAAGGATGGTTATGAGCTTTGTTAAAGGATGGTTAGGAGCTTTGTTAAAGGATTGCTGGGAGCTTTGTTAAAGGATGGTTAGGAGCTTTGTTAAAGGATGGCTGGGAGCTTTGTTAAAGGATGGTTACAAGCTTTGTTAAAGGATGGTTACGAGCTTTGTTAAAGGATGGTTACGAGCTGTGTTAAAGGATTGTTAGGAACTTTGTTAAAGGATGGTTATGAGCTTTGTTAAAGGATGGTTACGAGCTCTGTTAAAGGATGGTTACGAGCTTTGTTAAAGGATGGTTATGAGCTCTGTTAAAGGATGGTTACGAGCTGTGTTAAAGGATTGTTAGGAACTTTGTTAAAGGATGGTTGTGAGCTTTGTTAAAGGATGGTTACGAGCTCTGTTAAAGGATGGTTACGAGCTTTGTTAAAGGATGGTTACGAGCTTTGTTAAAGGATGGTTATGAGCTTCTAATTATGAAAGTATCTTTGTCAGTAGTTGTTGTTTTGAAGAATATATTGTGGTAGAGAAATGGAATATTCCTTTCATGTTTCAAAAGTGAGGAGAGAAATATCAAGATAAAAAAGTTCACTTCATCTCCTTGTCTGTACTTCATTCCCAAGGATAGCTACATTTATCATCTTATGATAAAGTCACAATACAGAATACACTGGAACTTTGAGGACAAAAGATCACAGAAAACAAAAATATCCTAGCCTTTTCTGCTCTGGTAATACCTCATACATTGTTGTATACGAAAGCCAAAAGACACTGTTTGCACATGAAGAAATATTAAACACCTGACATGATCCCAAAAGCTATTGACCTTTGATGGATTTAGAATCATTAAAAATTTCTATGTATTCTGTTACAGTGTACGACCACCCAAGAAATCGTGGAAGAATATATCTAACTTGTCTGGAGGAGAGAAGACACTCAGCTCTCTTGCCTTGGTGTTTGCTCTTCATCATTACAAACCAACACCGCTCTATGTTATGGACGAAATAGATGCTGCTTTGGACTTCAAAAACGTTTCCATTGTTGCGAACTACATCAAGGTTTGTCTGGATGTTTAATTGTTTGTCATGAGACATTAGTGATTGTGTCTGCTGTTGAATGGGCCAAAATAAGAGATTTTTTCTTAAATCACCATACTGAAATGTCTTTGAAGAACAGTGCTGTATCAGTATACTGACAACATGCATGTAGATACAGAGGTGCTTTAAAAGATACATGTGTTGAAGGGGAGTATCAAACTGAGCAGAGCTCTATTTTTGCTGTTTTATTTGGATTGTAATAGGTCTCACATAAATTGCAGAGATAATGATACAGTCATTAAGAAATATAAATTGCAGAGGTTATTTATTTAAATCCAAATATCGTTATTCTAATATCAACAACTCTGTCTTAGTTAAGATTAAGATATTGCTACATAACTTTAAACTGAGGTACAAGCTGAGACATTAGTAATGAGATTTAGATAATTGTAATTGATAATTTCCTTTCTGTACAGTTAACCTAAATATCTTATCTGTTAAACCCATTGAATAAGTTTGGATATTTTCTAATCTTTATTCGATCGTTCCAAATGTCATTTTTATTTCCATTTTTATAATTCCAGGAGAGGACAAAGAATGCACAATTCATCATTATATCACTGAGAAACAACATGTTTGAATTGGCCGACCGCCTCGTAGGTATATACAAAACAGACAATTGTACCAAGTCAGTGACCATCAACCCAAACCGTCTAACACAACCTCTAAGTGTAGCGTAACCACCGACTCCTCACGGCAACTGTACAAGGGAATTGTAACCATCAGCTTGTGACAAAACCTCTAAGTGTGGTGTAACCACCGACTCCTACTGGCTGCTGTAACCTGTAAGGGAATTGTAACCATCAACTTGTGACAAAACCTCTAAGTGTAGGGTTACCACCGACTCCTACTGGCTGTGTAACCTGTAAGGGAATTGTAACCATCAACTTGTGACAAAACCTCTAAGTGTGGTGTAACCACCGACTCCTACTGGCTGCTGTAACCTGTAAGGGAATTGTAACCAACTTGTGACAAAACCTCTAAGTGTAGCGTAACCACCGACTCCTACTGGCTGCTGTAACCTGTAAGGGAAATGAACCCATCAAATCACTTTGGTTGACACAACCTCTTAAGCGTAGCCTAACCATTGACTTGTGGCTGACATTACAACAAGGGAACTGTAACCATCAACTTGTGACAAAACCTCTAAGTGTAACATAAACATCAACTTGTGCTGTCTTACTCAACCTTTCAGTGCTGTTTGATTTAAAGGGGCATTTGGACAAAAGTGGTTTTGAAGACAGAAAAACTGTTATGATAGTGAAGTATGAATGGGGATTAAACATCTCCAGACAGATATTTACATTTATTGACTGCTTAACACAGAAAAACATTTAAATCCAATTTGTGCCATGATTTGTTAAATACTAACATGCAGAAATGATTATATCCAATATATGTTCCTTAGTTAATAACCTGATTACCAAATAGTTCACCTTAATTCCAGGATTTTATCTCTATTTCTATTTTCAGTCTTAGATGGAGTCCCCATTTAATTAATAAAATCATGTCTATTAAGAGTTACTTCCCTTTGTATAGATACCATTAGTTAACTTAGATCACGTCTATTGTAGTATACCAAAATACATATGTCTAGTAGATAATATTATACAAATGTTATACTTACTACAAATGATAAAAATAACAGGGTTAGAGTGTTCATCAGTAGTAATAACATGAACAATTACTAACTTTATTACAAAGTTTTTCTACTTCCAGGTAAACAAATGTTGGTATTTATGTGTTATGATCGACTCACTATATGTGTGATCTATGTGTACATAGAAGTAAAGTTGTACAGGTAAATACTGTACCATTTTTGTATACTTTTTTTATTTCCTCCTACATTTTTCTATCTGTCTTTCCAAATCCTGAATGTAGTTTTGTTATGTTTGTATACATATAGTGTACATTAGATTACAAATACGGCATGTCTCAAGTACTTATATATTTATGTCTGATATTGATGTATAAAGATAGAACGTCTGCCTAATTTGATGAATCCTTCAGGCTTACTGACTTGTATTCCCCAGGTAGGCTATTGATAAACCATTGTACATGTAATGTGTACTTCCATATGTACATTATTGTAGTGAATACTTTACAGGAAAATTAGCATACATTCTGCAGGAATTACCAACCAGAATTGTGACCCTGGCAACAACTTTGATTGAAATGAAATGAATATGAAGTCATATAATTCAGAAAAATAAAACAAAAACAACATGTATTGTTGAATGTTATTTGTTCAAGAGGAGGACTTGTTATGACCTCATTTCATTAGTGTAGATGGCATGGATAGTCACCGTTTTTGTTTGTCTTTATACCTGTTATAGACGAGGGTTATAAAACGTGTGCATTACCATTACACATCTATTTGTTTTTGGTAATTTCAATTAGTTTATTATGTGTTAAATAACCAATTAACAGCCAGTCTGGTTATGGACTAAACTGCATATTTTGAAATAAAAACAACGGAGAAGGTTAAAATGGGGGGAAAATGGTACTTCTTTTTATTTTTTAGAAACTGGGCTGTGCAAGTCACGTGTCATTTATCTTAGTTATCCAGGTATAAACAAGAATCTTGTTACTCTTTACTTGAGAAGGACAGGAAGGACTTTTCAATTTCCATACATGCGTTTTCCTTATGTCATTTCTTGTTTGGATATTTTGGGACTAGCAGGAAAACAAAATGGCTGACAATCGGCCATCTTGAATTTTGACATTTACAGGTTGTTGGCACAATCTCTTGAGAAGTTCTTTGGATATTTTCAAATTTTACATGTAGGATCCACTTTGTCATTGTTTTCCTGATTTCCTGAGAGTAGACCTTGTACTTAGTTGTGCATAGAAGGGGAACTATCCAAACGATAAATAACTGGTAAGAAAGCCACTTGTAGGTTTTTTATTGGATTGTAAATCATCGGTTCATGGATTTATTTTCTTTTTCTATTATTTATTTAATACAGATTTAGATTAATCTCCAAGTCGATGTTGGTACTGAGGCGAAAATTTGAGAATGTATGACTTGAATAAAATCTTTCTTACGTAATCCTGATGGTTCATGGTACATATGTAAAGTATCATTTAACCATGGTATAAAAATGCTATTTGCCCATAAGAACACCTCGCTTAGGGTGTAAGTGATGAAGTACATCTTTTCTAATCGACAGACTTGGTTTTTGATCCACAAGAACAACACTTGCTTTGGAGGTAAATGATTAACCATGCAGTGCTGTTGATGTCCAATTTGATATTTCTTGTCCATTGGACATCATTCGCAAAGACTAAATGGCATATGTGATATGTTGTGATATCTCCCATATTCAGTAACACTAAACATACATTATATTTGTATGATCCCACCACATTGAAGGAGTAAAAACTAGACAAAGGCAATGTCAAGAAATTTATACACGGTTAAGATGTAGGAGTAAACCGCTAAATCGTTACAAAATAAAAATTTTGATTACTTGAGTTTATTTTTGGGTTAAAAAATGAAGCTGTGGCAGATGTTGACAATTTACAAAATCCCCATCAAATCATATTCAATTAAGATTTAAAACTGTCTTCATTAAATAATATGATTTTTAATGACTTTTTGTTTAAATCTTCAAATGCTTACTGTTCTGTTAATGGCACAATGGTTTGCTGGGATGAACGGGGGTGAAGTGTCATAGGTGTCAAATATCTTAAGAATTTGAAATTTCACGTTTCATCAATTAATTGGTACTGGGTCATGCTATTTGTGTAGTAGTTTGCAGAAATTGACTTTACCCGCTGACAATGTCTTGTAAGCTGCCTAACAAGTTAGAAACGCGGGCCTATTGGGCCTCTTGTTTATTATTGTTTAGGATTTTCATGTAAATATATTGTTTTGTTGGAGTATACATCGGTCTGTGAAGAGAGTTAAATGGAGATGTGGTCTCCATGCAGCAGCTGGTGAATTCTTTTCAGGACACCATCGGAGACACTGCCCTCTTGCCATCAGGATTCTTTGTAATTAAGCGTTTTGCCCTCTTCCAGTCTATACAACACATCACTTTCTATGAGTCATCCTTCACTTGACATACCATTCGTCATTTACTGGATGTTGATACTCATAACTGTATATTTGATGGTTCTAATGGTTTTGTAATAGAAAACCAGGATTCAGAAATATTAATATTAATCGGATTTTATATACATATCAGAGAAAAGGCATTCAATTTGTTCACTGATGCCGAAAGCTAGTCTTTCATGTAGCATGTATTGAGGTTTTTTTTTCTACATCAGCCACTTGCATCATTCTTTTTACAAGTCGCAGTTGATATTTCATTCTAGACCTTGTTATCAAGATCATAATTTCGGTGACATATGTTGGCATTTGCAGGAAAACTTATTGAGAGATAACGGTTGATGAAAACTATGGGAGTATGTTCGTCATGATCACATAGATGTAGAAGTTGTCAGATGTGAAGGTATGTTCGTGATCACGTAGATAGATGTAGAAGTTGTCAGATGTGAAGGTATGTTCGTCATGATCACGTAGATAGATGTAGAAGTTGCCTTTGTCAGATGTGAAGGTATATGTGCGTTAATGTGTTCGTTAATTGTTGGTTCGTTGATTCTCTGTTTGAGGACATGGCATTGCTTGGATTTTCCTAGGATATTTGATAAATATCTTTTTTTGTTATCTTTGTATAAGGTTCCCATTTACCATTTTCTTTGTACTCTTCTTGTCATCGTTCATCCGAATTTGAATAACACTTGCGATTTTGTCTACATGTGGATATTCTTTTGTTCTAGAATTTTGTGAATACTTATCAGAGAAACATATTAAGCTTAACTTGGAATATTATCTGACCTTACTTACCTGGCACATTATCTGACTTTACTCACCTGGAACATTGTCTGATTTAACTCAACCTGGGACATTGTCTGACTTTACTTACCCAGGACATTGTCTGACTTTACTTACCTGGAACATTGTCTGACTTTACTTACCTGGAACATTGTCTGACCTTACTTACCTAGGACATTGTCTGACCTTACTTACCTGGAACATTGTCTGACCTTACTTACCTGGGACATTGTCTGACCTTACTTACCTGGAACATTGTCTGACCTTACTTACCTGGAACATTGTCTGACCTTACTTACCTGGAACATTGTCTGACCTTACTTACCTGGGACATTGTCTGACCTTACTTACCTCGGACATTGTCTGACCTTACTTACCTGGAACATTATCTGACCTTACTTACCTGGAACATTATCTGACCTAACTTACCTGGGGCATTGTCTGACCTTACTTACCTGGGACATTGTCTGACCTTACTTACCTGGGACATTGTCTGACCTTACTTACCTGGGACATTGTCTGACCTTACTTACCTGGGACATTGTCTGACCTTACTTACCTGGGACATTGTCTGACCTTACTTACCTGGGACATTGTCTGACCTTACTTACCTGGAACATTGTCTTTACTTACCTGGATCATTGTCTGACCTTACTTACCTAGGACATTGTCTGACTTTACTTACCTGGAACATTGTCTGACTTTACTTAAACAGGAACATTGTCTGACTTTACTTACCTGGAACATTGTCAGACCTTACTTACCTGGAACATTGTCTGACTTTACTTAAACAGGACCATTGTCTGACTTAACTAACCTGGAACATTGTCTGACTTTACTTACATGGAACATTGTCTGACTTTATTCAACCTGGAACATTGTCTGTCTTAACTTACCTGGAACATTGTCTGACTTAACTCAACCTGGAACATTGTCTGACTTTACTTACCTGGAGCATTGTCTGACTTTACTTACCTTACTTACTTACCTCAAACATTGTATGACTTAACTAACCTGGAACATTGTCTGACTTTACTTACCTGGAACATTGTCTGACTTTACTTAATCTCAAACATTGTCTTACTTTACTTACCTGGGACATTGTCTGACTTTACTTACCTGGAACATTGTCTGACCTTACTTACCTGGAACATTGTCTGACCTTACTTACTAGGAACATTGTCTGACTTAACTAACCTGGAACATTGTCTGACTTAACTAACCTGGAACATTGTCTGACTTTACTTACCTGGAACATTGTCTGACTTTACTTACCTGGAACATTGTCTGACTTTACTTACCTGGGACATTATCTGACTTTACTTAACTAGAACATTGTCTGACTTTACTTACCTGGAACATTGTCTGACTTTACTTAAATGGAACATTGTCTGACTTTACTTGACCAGGAACATTGTCTGACTTAACTCAACCTGGAACATTGTCTGACTTTACTTGACCAGGAACATTGTATGACTTAACTCAACTTGGAACATTGTCTGACTTAACTAACCTGGAACATTGTCTGACTTTACTTACATGGAACATTGTCTGACTTAACTAACCTGGAATATTGTCTGACTTAACTTACCTGGAGCATTGTCTGACTTTACTTACCTGGACCATTGTCTGACTTAACTAACCTGGAACATTGTGTGACTTTACTTTACCTGGATCATTGTCTGACTTTACTTACCTGGATCATTGTCTGACCTTACTTACCTGGAACATTGTCTGACCTTACTTACCTGGATCATTGTCTGACTTTACTTACCTAGGACATTGTCTGACTTTACTTGACCAGGAACATTGTCTGACTTTACTTACCTGGGACATTGTCTGACTTTACTTGACCAGGAACATTGTCTGACTTTACTTAAACAGGAACATTGTCTGACTTTACTTACCTGGAACATTGTCTGACTTTACTTGACCAGGAACAGTGTCTGACGTAACTCAACCTGGAACGTTGTCTGATTTCAATAGATAATTACAGTCTAATTGTCCTGATAGATAAACACTGTCTAGTCTATGTTGGCCCGATAGATAAACACTGTCTAGTCTAAGTTGTCCCGATAGATCAACACTGTCTAGTCTTGATAGATAAACACTGTCTAGTCTGGAATGTTGTCTGATAGATAAACACTGTCTAGTCTATGTTGTCCTGATAGATAAACACTGTCTAGTCTATGTTGTCCTGATAGATAAACACTGTCTAGTCTATGTTGTCCTGATAGATAAACACTGTCTAGTCTATGTTGTCCTGATAGATAAACACTGTCTAGTCTGTCTAAACACTGTCTAGTCTATGTTGTCCCGATAGATAAACACTGTCTAGTCTATGTTGTCCTGATAGATAAACACTGTCTAGT